TTAGTTTTTTTTATGAAATAATATTTACTTTTTCTAAGTATTTTAAAATGTTTTTTTCCTTTTAATTTTATCCTCATATTCTCTTTTCTTTTGATTTGTTTATTGTATCTTTTATTTGTTATCTTCATTAATAAAGACATATTTGAAAAAAAATACATACCTTATATATTTATTGTTTTAAGCTAATTTTAACTAATTTTTATAAATAAATTTTATCTTATATTTTAAACTAGAGGGGTTTTTTTAAATATTTAAATATTGATTTACTATGTCATGGAAAGCTAATTCTTTTCATTATACCCAGTCTTATTACTGTTTTAAAAAAAACGTAGTTGTAAAACTGTAAAAGTGTAAAGGGAGAAGGCAATTGGCCGTTGAGCGATTTATTTGCAACGAGTTGTAAAAACTTGAACTGAAGCTAAACAATTGGGGGGGGGGGGAGAATTTTGTAATGAATGAACACTTGGTTTAACTGTGGCTGTAAATGGCGCAAAACGTGTTTGTGCGCACTTCTTTTGACCAGACGCGTTAGACACAGCTATGCATTTTCGTCACAATTTGTGGACTTCCACGGATTAATTTCATAAACACAGAAAAAAATACTCATTAATCATAGGGCTGTGCAAAAATGCCCGGAACCCGATCTGTCTGGTCCAACCCGGTCCTGAAAAATACAACCCGATAACAAGACAAGACTAATTGGGCCATACTAAACTATCGGGTAAGACCGGGTTAAAGACTAATAGTTGACTCGGTCTAGGTAGTTTTTTTTTTTTTAAATATGTGGTTAATTAATTTAGTGTTTGCCTTAATTTGTTTCTCGTTTGTTTCTTTCTCTCTCCTTTTGCACAGTCATCGCTCATCCTTTTTTAACTGGAGAATAACTTTTCTTTCTCCATTGAAAATGGACCCAATAACGTGAATGAACGAACCCATTACCCGCCTCTGATGAACACCATCGATTCTTCTGCCATTAGTTTCCACCTCAGCTCGCCAACAAAAACCATCTTCAGTTCGCATCTTCCATTGTTGCCATCTACCGGTTCGCATCTTCCATTGCTATGACTATGATCTTCAAGTTCATATTAGTGTCTCCTATTTCATGTTTGCTATTTGGCCTTTCTTACATTTTTTTAGTTTCTTTTAAATGTGGGTACTTTTTTTCAGTTCTGATATATTATTTCTATAGCTAAAAATATGTAGTGATTTTTTTTAAAAAAATATAAATAGAAAAGCAACTTAGACCAGTCTGGTAACCCAATGGACCAAGTCCAACCCGGTCTTGGTCCCCGGTCTAACCACACTGGATCAGTTTCCGGACCAAAATTTTCAACCTGGTCATTTTTCAGACCAGACTTCAGCCTGGGGTGTAACCCGGTCCAACCCGGTCTTTGTACAGCCTTAATTAATCATGAGCTGGACGTTCAGCTGATACGAGACTCTTAATCATGTTCTAGAACTCTTAATCATGAGCTGGACGCTTAGGTGATATGGACCCAATCTTTCATGAGCTCGAAGCTCTGTTGGTAAACCCATAATCATATCTTATATTTAGAATTGATAATAGTATTAAATATCTCAACCTGCGTTTCATTGCTCCCTCGATTTCAAATTTGAAATGCTGGGACGAACAAAGACTTTTCAGGAGGCCCTACTTGAGGGGTTAGGCCACGGCATTGGCTAATGGCTATCAACGGCTGAGACGGGAAGCTCGCAAGAAATCACCTCCTTCCATTTTTCTTTTTCCTTCCAACTAATAAATTATTAATAATTGAGCAGCATCAAACTTGAAGTCGTCGACTTAAATGAGACTTTCATAGCCACCGTTCGCATTAGATTGTTTTGACACACAAGTATTTAGCTTCCGTCTACACGTAAAAGAAGTAGTGTTTTTATAGTGACTAGTGTCCTTTTATTAGAATAAATACTGTTTAATATACTATCAATTTATATACTTCCTCTAATTCAAAACATAAGCAAAACCTTATTTGAGGAGTTTATTTTTTATGAGATGATATTTATTTTTGTCTAAACATTTAATGAGTTTTTTTCTTCAATTTTACTTTCATATATTTTTTTCCTCTTTTATTCGTTGATTATCTCTTTTACTTATTTTCTCAATTGATAAGGGTATATTTGGAAAAACATACATGTCTTGCATTTTATTGTTTTAAGCTGATTTTAACTAATTTCTTAATAAAAATAAAATGGATAATTTTTATCTTATATTTTAAATCGGAGGGGAGTATTTTTAATAAAATTTAAATACTAATTCACCAAATTAGGAAGAACTAACTCTTTTCATTGTACCAGCCTTATTACTATAAAGAAAAACATAGCTCTAAAACTGTAGAAGTGTAGAGGGAGAAGGCAATTGGCTGTTGACCGATTTATTTGCATTTAGTTGTAAAAACTTGGAACTGAAGCTAAATAATGGAGGGGGAAAAAGAATTTTGTAATGAATGAACACTTGGTTTAACTGTAGCTGTAAATGGCACAAAACTTGGTGATGAAAATGAAGTTCTTCTTTCCTTATTTCTTGTCCTGATACGATGAGAATAATAAATAAATCAAAGACAGGTCAAATGTGTCCAATTATAACATACATCTAAACTTAAGGCGTGACTGGCGACAGACGCCATTGGAGAGAAGGCAATAAATGTCATAGGTAATCAGCTTTGTCTTGCCGAACCTTTGACGGTCTAGGGGAAAACTCGCTATGCTGAATCTATTTAATCCCGAATTTAACGGTAGTGATAACATGATCTCCAACTTGTGATAGGAGGTGTCAAGACTCATTCCTTTTCTTTCTGACATTCCCCTCCCTCTCTCATTTTGATGACCTCTCTGAAACAGACCCATAGCTCGATTCAGAACTGGAAAATGAAGTATCGCAACTCCAATAAGGTTGCTGCCAAATGGGTTCCCATTTTCTCGGTCGTTTCGTTCCTCCTGGGCATGCTCATCGCAAGCAGGTCTCTTCCTCGCTCTGGATCTCAATTACTTTGATCTTTCCGTTTTTGTTTTTGAGCAAGAAAAAGAAAACAATTTAAAACTTGGGAATCAGCTTGCTTTTCATATTTCACTTGTATGAACTCTGTTGTGACTGGAAATGGCGGTTGCTGCAGGATATGGGAACCAACTGAATCAAACGGCCAGCTTGTTTCGCTGCGTCGGAATAATAAAGAACTGCAAGTCGTCTCCAAGGAGTCTACTGCTGAAAAGGCATTTTTTTGCCTCTGTTTTTTCAATTGCATTTCTAAAAGCGTTTGATTCTTTTCTTTGATTCTGAAATCTCTGGGTTTTGTTGCTATATCAGAAGCCGGTGCCAAATCAGGATGTAATAACCGAAGTTTACAAAACCCACGAAGCTATTCAGTGAGTGCTGGCTTGAATCTAATTCCATTTCGCTAGATTTGTCTGCAGTGGCGATTGTAGTTGAATATTTACTGTTGTTTGATTCTTCGGAGGCATGCCAGATCTCTGGACAAACAAGTTTCCATGCTTCAAATGGAATTAGCAGCAGCTAGGAGTTCTCGAGAAATGGGGGTCTCAGATGGCTCTGGGGCGACCACCTCTGATAAATCTACGGAAGCAGCTCCCAGGAAGAAGGCGTTTATAGTGATTGGCATAAACACAGCTTTCAGTAGCAGGAAGCGGAGAGATTCAGTTAGGGAGACTTGGATGCCACAAGGTAACGAATTTGTTGTGGAAAGATGATTTTATTTGCAAGTGATGAATTGATTACTTATGGAAGTTTGGTTTTGCTCATACTTTGGTCAGGGGAACAGCTCCTTCGATTGGAACGTGAGAAGGGAATTATCATCAGATTTATGATCGGCCACAGGTAATTTACTGGGATGATTCTGGCTGCAAAGCTTTATCCATTAACCATATGATCACTTAACTCAGGATAGAATTACGCATTTTCGTAACTGATACTGATCACCGATCACTAGTGTTTAAAGTGTCGGCTGCAAGCTCGTTGAAACCCATTTTCGATCTGCCTGTTAACTGTAAATGGCCAAATGCTATTGACGGCAAGTGTTCTTGAAGTTGCTTCTTTCCTTGAAGTCTACACTGTCATTTCTTATATGCTCTTTATGCTCCAGCCATTTAAGATCACTTCATTTTTCTGGTTATTTCACATATTCCTTTACTCTGACAGCCAATGTTTAGCTAAATCAGGAAATTCTCCAAATTTAGGCGTTAAAAGAATTAGAGATTTGGGGATATTTTAAAAAATCTTGTTTAATGAAAGAGAACAGCTGGGAAAAACTATTTTTGGATTCTGGGTATGATAGGCTCAATTATCACATAACTCAATACTTATTTATCTGAGATAATGGGCTGCAAACCACAACATTATGGAACTGACATGATGGATGTTTACGGTTGTCTCAGTGCAACTTCCAACAGTATTCTTGATCGAGCGATTGATTCAGAGGATGCCCAGCACCATGACTTCCTTCGGCTGGTAAGAAAGTTCATAAGATTTGTTTAGGTGAGGATGATCCGGGATATCTGGCAGGGATCATAATCTTGATTACAAATTGTCATGTAGGAACATGTCGAAGGGTATCATGAACTGTCTGCAAAGACAAAGACTTTCTTCTCTACTGCAGTTGCTAAATGGGATGCAGATTTTTATGTCAAGGTGGATGACGATGTCCATGTCAACTTAGGTATACACTGTCTCAGGACTCTCAAATTCTTTCTTGAGTTTCCTGTTATCCTCACAAGTAAGGTTTTATTGTGATGCTAATTAGGTGTCTTGGCATCAACTCTTGCTCGTCATCGTTCAAAACCAAGAGTCTATATCGGGTGTATGAAATCTGGACCTGTTCTTTCCCGAAAGTAAGTCCACTTAACCATTTTTTTCTGTGTCCCGTGTAATGGAATGGTTTCATCTTAGGAATCTGTTTTCATACTTCTAGGGATGTCAAGTATCACGAGCCTGAGTTCTGGAAGTTTGGAGAAGAAGGGAACAAATACTTCCGCCATGCCACTGGACAGATATACGCACTTTCTAAGGATCTGGCTACCTACATCTCCATTAACCAGTAAGGATAGAACTTTCCATTGAGTAATTAATTACTATCCACTGATCGCCAAGCAATACATGCGTACTTTTTGGTTGATATTTAGCAATCAGTTTAATAGTTTAGCATTTCACGGCTGAACTGGATTTGCTGGAATGTGGGGTTTAGCTTGAAAAGCAAACAAATTATTCTGCATTACTAGGTTAAATTCTTCAACAAGATGGGTACATAATATTTACTGACATGTATATACTAAGCCCATTCCCTCATGCGGCATACAAGTAATAGGCTTTGGTGATGTATATCTGGCATAGAATAATGATGGAAGTGCAAATTGTGAGTGCAGGCCAATATTACACAAGTATGCTAATGAAGACGTCTCGCTTGGGGCATGGTTCATTGGTCTCGAAGTTGAGCACATTGATGACCGCAGTATGTGCTGTGGGACTCCGCCAGGTAAGTTAGATGTATCTGATTATTTCAGCTCTCAAGAACTACCAAAGGTTCTTCTGGGTGTGGATCTCATATAGGATTAATGCTTTTGTATAGACTGTGAGTGGAAGGCGCAGGCAGGCAACACATGCGTTGCTTCATTTGATTGGAGCTGCAGTGGAATCTGCAAATCAGTGGAGAAGATTAAATATGTCCACCAAAAATGTGGTGAAGGGGAAGGAGCTATTTGGAGTGCTTTATCTTAAACTGATTCCATCAAAGGGTTTTGCGTGGTTGGAAGAAGGATTAATTGTTCGTTTGACTCTGGAACTAACAAGGCCATTTTGAGGCAGGAATCCAACCAAATATATAGAAATGAAAATTTTACCCCCAACTAAGGCTGGTTGATTATTTTCATTGAAGCTGTTCGTTCAAGTCTGGAATTGAACGGCATGACTATGAATTTACAGATCTGTTCATACCTTCTGTCTTGCTCTTGGAAGTCGGCGGATATGGATAGGCCTCTTCTTCTTTTTTTTTTGAAATTCTCTTTCTCGTCTTATATTTGTTTCTCTTTATGGTTAAATTTGTTTTATTTATCGACATTCCTCTTCGTAGATGTGACTTTTGTTCTTTGTAATGATAATCAATGTATTAATTGTTTCACCAATAAGTTTCAATGGGACAAAATAATTTATATGTAATTGATGTCAAAAGGCTTCACAATTGAGACTCAAATGTTCACATCAAAGAGAACATGCAGGTGCATTATACCTTCATTGTCCCGGGAAAAAAAAATCTATGAATCTGTTTTTAATAAGAACTGTTATAAAGTTATATTTTATAGTTATTAAGTAGTTGAACGATATCTTGAGAATCTTTCGTTGTTACCAATCTCATCTTAGTATTATCGTTAGTTTAGTTATGTCCCAATCTATTGCCGTCAGTTTAAGTGGCAGTTATTTACCTCCGTTTCTGCTCCACTACCGAATGATATAAAACTAAATTGTCGACTTCTCTGAAAAGATGAGTTTTGATTCAACTGTTATTCAACCAGTAAACTCTCCGGCCGAAGCATCGTCATTGTTGAGTTTACAGCTTCACATTTGCAATCATTCATTTGGATCATTGATATCTGTTATTGAGTTTGATGGTTATATTCTCGATAGGCCATCCGGAAAGAGTTTGAATTGTTCGTTTATACAGGAAAAAGAGATTACATAAGAGGCTTCGGTTTCAAGAAACCTTTAAAACAGGTTGGTTGTGTCAGGCTCCAGGAGAGACTCCCAGAGAGAGATCCGTGTGCGTCCGGAATGGGTTGATGAATTTCTTCCTGTCCTAAATTTTCTTTTTGTTGTTTTGGAAAATTCTTCCCATTATGTTACTGCAAATGTAACATCATCATTCTATGATAATTAAATAGTAGTTGCATAATTTGTGAGTCAGAATTAACCGTTTTAATGCGCAATCTCGTATCTTGTCAGTTTGTGCTGTGCTGTCGGTTTGTCCAAACCCAAGTGTTATCAACTTACCATAAATGGAAGTTACAAGCAGTGAATGACCTGCTTTCATATTTCCTGTTAAAGCCCGTACGATTTATGAAGCTGAGTTTTAGATTGACCAGGAATCTGCACATGCTCTGTTTTCTGGGCTTCCAACAGATTTGCGAGATCCCTCTACTCTCTCAATCAGAAACTTTTAAGCACAAGAAAACAAAGGTGACCATGCCTTACAAACTACATCATCTGAAGCAAAATCTGATTAACAGCCATCAATGAACTAACCATGTTCCATCACAGAGAGTTTTGTTTTAATATCTACACTTCGAATTTTGTTGGGAAATGAGAACAGCACTTCCATACACAGCCTTGTGTATGCTCTTTGTGACAACTTAAAAGGTGATAACAAACACCACCGCCATAGCTTCGTCTCCTTCCTTTTAAATTCTTTTCACAAGTTTTATTCCCTTAACAAATAATGCTGGTTATGGAACCCCACCAGTCGCCGCCTTCTCTGTGCAACTCAATTCGTTAGTTAAGCTTCTGGTGCCTAAACCCTACCACCTCGGAACTTTCTATCACACACAAGCATGCCATCCTTCGGCAATAATATGCTCGTGGAGCTTCCCCTTCACTCTTAAATCATTCTCTCTTTTTCACCACTTTACTGTGCTTTTTCCACGCTTCTTTGTGTGCGCCTTTTGGCTTCTTTACAGGATCGACGACTAGGCGGATAAGTTTTTAGTTTTCTTAACAAAATCCTATTCTGATAATTTTCTGCCTTAGGTACTCTATACGGTGATTCCCAACACATGAGTGGTTTTTCCTGAGATTTCTTGACGCAACAGCAAACAATTCATGTGAGACTTCAGAACCCACCTAATAAAACCATAGGGATATGACGGAAGTGATGTTAATTAGAAAAGGTTATTTGCATTTTCTGTGGGACACCAAATAATGAAGGCATTGCCGTTAATCCAATTCATTATTGGATGACACACAACAAATTACGCTGTGGGAGGTCCAATCCTACATGGGAGGTGTTCGCTGAATTTATAAGCCTAAGAACCAAACATGCGAGAGGATACCAAAAGGAGCCGCCACGCGCCTCCCACATGCCCACAATCAATGGCTGTCGGCCGCAAACAAACTCATCATCATATATAATCGATTTTTGTCGCACGTGATGTGCATGTGATTGGTTCCCCATTCTGGCTTCACCAAATTATTCAATGTCAGCCCCGCTAAACATGTTCCGTCCCCTTTTCCTCGGGGGAATTGTGTATACCTTATAAAATGGAAAAAAAGCAAAAAATTACTTGGCACGACATAGTGCCTGGGCTTAAAGATCTCTGTTTAACTTTGACCCGAGTTTTATTCATGTAGTGTGTCAATAATTAAGCAAACAACATTTTCTAAAGGATTTCTAAGGAAAAGTTTCAAAAAAATACTTTTAAAATTTTAAAATCCTAAATTAGGAATGACTATAAAAATATATTGTCACTTACTCTTTAAATGTTGTTGTTGTTATTAAATTGTAGTGAATAAGACTGACTTAAAATTTTAAAATTTAAATTTTTTTTTAGATTCTCCCTATTTTTAATTGTGAGAAAATCATTTTGACAAAAAAATTTTTAAAAAAAAGGGAAAACTGAGAAAATGATGGTCAAAAGTCCAAAAGTCTAAACCGTTACATGGGGTTAAGGTGGGAGTAAGTGGCGTAAGTGAGACACGTGCATTGTGTGCGACAAATGAATGATGGCCCCACTCCCTCAAAACACGCTATTTTGACGCCGCCGTAATTTAATTCCCGCGGATCGCACTGGAAGCCGAGTTTAGACAAGGCGTCTTTTAAAGAAATAAATTGTACAGGCCACTAACCACTAAATCACATCCTACCTTCTATTTTTAATATAAGGATTGGTTGATTAATTTAAATACATTAAAAAATTTAATTAATTTAATTATTTATAATAAATGGATATTTTTTTTAAAAAATATCTTTACTAATCAAATATAATAACTAGAACTATCATATTATAAGAACTATCTTAAAAAAATAGATAAATATAAAAAACAAAATAAATTAAAATCTTATATTTAGAACCAAAGTAAAAATTAAATGAGATCTTATACTAATATTAAAAATAAAAAATAGTATTAATTATATTGCTTTAAAATTGTGCGTAGAAAAAGACTCTCGCAACAAAAATGTTCTTGCAACCCATTATTAATTATTATTTTTTTGGCCTGAAACCCATCATTAATTATTGACTCTTTTGTTTAGGAAAAGGCAAATAATATGATTTGTATGATTAGACAGGGAATATGATGAGGCAGAGGTTTTCCGTTTTGGCGGATAACAGGGCATGGTTATATTGCCAAGGCCGCTGTTCGTAATTGATGTCTTTGACTCCTTTGACTTCCCGGAAACCTCATTCCCAGATGTTGGTAGTTGCAGTTTGGACTAATATTAAAATGAGTAAAATTTAACAAAGGAAAAATATGTCATTGCAGTAATCGAGTAAAGGATTATGAACAAGAGATTTATGGAGCAACATGTGCAGAAGTTTGAAGCATGATCATCTGGTTGTTGGGACAAACTAAAGGATGATTCAAATCTCTCATGAATGTATTCAACTAAATCTTGTCTGCGCTAAACTCCAATAATATAATAAACCAGTGAATCAACCAAGTGGTCCTGCCCGCTTCTCTTCCGTCTTCTCTCCGTGCTCAAGCCTTCTAATGCACTCCTCCTTTTCCAACGATCATTTTTCTCCTTTCCTTATCATTCCCCCACATGACCAAGTAAAACTTCACCATCTACTTCATCAATCTTGACAAACTCAAAAACCTCTCCCACTATACCAGGTAAACTCCGAAATGACTTCGTCTTTCTTGTCCTTATCTTGATCCTTCTCATCAGTTTCCTTCCTGCTCACCCTCTCTGTTCTTCTACTCTCGCTTTGATCTTTCACTCTGAAATTTTGGGAACTGAGGAACGGTATGGCTGATTATCAGCATCGTCGTCATGATCACTACCACAAGTTTCATCATCATCAGACAGGCAGATTCATGCCGATGCTCTGTTCGAGGCCGTCCATGCTCGAAGATGTGACTGTTCCACGGTGGAGGAACCGGACGGCGTCGTTGTCGGACGATCCCTTGTCCCCTAGAATCGGCTGTATGGGTCAAGTGAAGAGGAACAACAAAGTAGTTGGGTTACCTACTACCTCGCAATCGCGTGGGTTCATCAGCCTCAACAGTAAATGTAACGTCTCGTCATCAACGCAATCGCGTGGGCTCATCAGCCTCACCAGTAAAGGTAACGTCTCGTCATCAACGCCCTTCTCTGCTCTGGTCAAGTATTCCAAACTCGGAAAGATTTTCTACGCCAAGAATCTAAGCACTAACACACCTGATACTGCTCACACGGCGACAAGTTGTGGTGGTAAGCGCAGAGATTTGGCAAGGAATGATAGGAATAGAGGCGAGAGTTGTGTTACTGTAAGTATTGAAGAGATGGACCCTCCATTGCCGGTGGTAAAGCGAGCACAGAAATCGGAGGCAGAAAGGGGAGCGGAAAGTCTTTGGAAAAGGAGATCAGGTGGGGTTGCCCTAAGAACTCTTCAGCTTCAACACATTCATCATCCGAGGCATCTTCTACAGCCTACTAGTGTATGATTAAATGCGATTTTTTTTTTGATCGAGTGGGATTTTTTTCTAAACATAAAGTAAATGATTTTGGTGCTCAACTTCTAGTTTGAAAGAGTTTCTTCGTTGAATTAGTACCTGCGTCATGGTGACTCAGCTCTACTAGGTCATAGATCGAGGCTCTTGAACCCAGGTTAACCAGAAAACTCAATGGGTAAATGGCAAGCTTTGCACCACAAGGTCAACTTTTAGTCCCTGTTTAAGTGACGAGCTTTGTACCGAGAATGTAGTAAAATGGATCTGTTTTCTGGACATAGAAATGGGGATCTCGAAAATGCTTTATGGAGGAAATTGTAGAAATCGTTAGAAGCGTCACTGTTTCATGGAAATTAGAAGTGAAAGCCGTTTGTTATGCGGAAAAGTGAGCAGTTTAACCCTTAGAGGGCGCAATGTTCAGATAAAATCATAGACGTCGGAAATCTGCGCGAACTGATGGGTGATGAAATTTTACACATATTTCTAAACATTCATGGATTGAAAACTTAAAACTGTTGAAAACTCGTTGAAGAGTAACCCCAGAATATTGTTCACCCAACATCATGCGTGCTTTAGTGAATACGAGTGTGTGGCGAAGAAAATTCAACAGCTGAACATTTCCTATAAACATGTTTCATCTCTTCTTTGTTTCTTGCTTTTTTTTGTTTGGGGGGGGGGGAGAGGAGCAAATGGGAGCCAAGGCCAATACAGCAATTTCCTTGGGAACATTGTTAACGGTTAGCCCGTACAGCTCCCAATTTGATGAATCATGTGCTCACGTTTATATTATTTGCAAGATCCTTGTTTATGCACGGTTTATATTGTTAACGGTTAGCCCGTACAGCTCCCAATTTGATGAATCATGTGCTCACGCTTATATTATTTGCAAGATCCTTGTTTATGCACCGTTTTATAAAGTATTGCCAAACATGAGAAAATCACTTTGATTGAGAGGCATTTGGATTAGTTTTCTTAAAAATAATTTTACAGAATATAAAATAAATTTGTGAAAGTAGTTTTATCTACACTCAAAAAAAATATGGGAGAGAATCATCGTCAGAAGTCCAAAACTCTGTGGAAGGTTGGGTATGAGCCGGCAAGTTCACGCATGTTCTGCGCGGCAAGACACGAATGATGGGCCCCACGAACCCACCCCTTTCCGTACACATGCTTTGACACGGGGGCGTCTTCACGTTTTAATAGCCCCCATACATAGTTCACGAGCTGTAAATTACTCGTAGCATCGTTTTTTTATAAACACAAACAACGTTTGATAATTAAAAACCGCTTAGAATGGATTATAAATACTTTTTAATCATAATTTATGAAATGCAAAATAAACGTGAAAGTTTTATCTACGCTTACATAAAACGTGATTTTAAATAATTTCAATTGTAATGTCAGACAAGGGCTAACGCAATGTCACAATTGAATGGCCATGATATTATGGAAATTACGCGCCGCGCCAGAAATCATAGTATTCACAAATCATCATACATAATACATATACACAAGGGGACTCGCCTATTCACTACCAACATGAGTAGACTCGACGGCATGTGCTCAGGCCAGCTCTGCCGTCCCGGCCAAACCAGCTCAAGTCCACAACGTTGGGCATGAGAAACAAAATGGGCACGATGAGAAGCAACTACGAAGGTCTTTTGATTTTCCTTTCAAGGGATAGGGATTATTAAACTTCCTGTGCTAATTCAAGTACATAACAAACCTTTTTTATGCTAATACATACATATTTAACAACTCTAACCTAGAATCTGTATTCATACAAGCTCAAGTTACATTAGTATAAGTGTCTCTGATGATTTGTCACCATCACCCCTGTTCTTTATAAGGAGTCCAGATCAATTTGCTAACATCAACCTCCAGACCGCCTCTTCCAGCAGCTTTCAGATGGCGATCCAACACTTTCGGATCTGCACATATAACATGCTGTCCTTTCCTGTATTGGATCAATTCTAGGCTCTGAAGGGTAGTCAATATGTCTTCAGCTTTGATGGCTGTCATGTCACTCAGCTCCTGTGGAAAAGTATCCGATTCAGTAGCATAGCCTTTGTATTTATCATGAGCATGCGCAATATCAGATAAATAATGTCGTAAATTAATCAATAATTCAATATCTTTCGCTCCTTATGATTTTTCAGCATTATAAGTGATTGAGTTTGGAGATCACTCAACGATAGCCACCTTATAAGAGGAATTCAATGCCGCATCGTAAACAACCAACGTTATAGAAAAATCAATCCCTTGAAAGAACTCTATTTTCAGAAAACATCTTGACTTCATAATTGCTTGATTTCTTTAATAGAAATAACTGACTCACTTTTTGAGCAAAGAAAGTAATAGGTATATCCCGTGAAAGAAATGCAAAGGATGCTTACCTTGATAGATATATTACCCTTATGCTTCTTCAAGATGTCCAACAGAACCCTGGTCCAATATCCTCGGTAGCTCAGCAGCCCAAGGTCAGAAAGGGGTCTTTCAGGTGTGCCAACTTTTCCCTCCTTCTTAGAAAGTTCATATGCTGCTCCATGTTTGAAATAATAACGGATTTTGCTCATACAAGACTAAAACAAATAGATAGGACCCAATATCCAAAGAGATATAGAGCTTACAGAATGCTATTAGAAATTTGCCATAGCCTTTCCTCTGGTAGGGTGGAAGGGTGAGGATACACGCCAAATTATAAGATTCCTCTGAATGTTTTTCCTTCATGATTAAACGTAGTAACAAGTATTAATAAAGTTAGACTGAAAAATACTAACCAATAAGTATGACAACAGTAGTAAGAAAACAGGTGAGAGTTAGGAGCTTCAGGTCACAAAACTATTTGCACTGCCTATCTATGAATAACTTGGACGGGCAGTTATTTTATTAAATAAATAACTAAATAGGGAGCTAAACTACATGATAAATGACCCGTGTTCTTGTAAAGTTTTAAAAAGTCCATATTCGGTATATTAGGGCAGACAAAGTAGATGGTCCAAAAGTCATTGGAAGGTCGAATATGAAATTGAAACATCCCCATTCAAAACCAAAGCAAGTGACAACAAAGCAATAGCATTACCTTGGAAAAATAGCCAACCATATGGCATCCTCGATCATCACATTCACACAAAACATAGAACAGAAACAAGTCCACATCATAATAGAGGGTCTTGTGATCAAGAAACAATTTTGCCAGGTAACAGAGATTCTGCCCATAAATCTTGTTCTTTTTGCCATCGACCTGTTTTACAGACAAGTAATAGTTGAAGGCAGCCACAAAATGCAAACAAGAAAGTTTCAAATGAAAAAACAATAAACACGCATGCCTGTACCCACACAGAGACAGCGTAAGATAGGAGAATACTATATTTAGTTTATAGTTAGTAATTGACTGGTAAATGATTGCATGGTGTCCTTCTTTACCATTGAAATGAGGTGTATCAGCAAATAAATTAACAAGAAAAATTCAACGTCAGGCAATGATTAAGTAGAATCACATTAAAATGAATCAAAGATAAAATTTCACTGAGAGATCAATACATAAATTGAACTGTTGTAGATCTCATCTCATGGAAACGGAAAAAAGAGAAAAGGGCAGAGGGAGAAAAATAAGTCCAATGGTGATTGTAATACACAGGAAGCCCTTCAACAGCAGAGATCAACAAAGCCTTAAAAATTATCAGAGAAACGAGGCTGAGAGAAAAAAGAATCTTTGAAATCAATTGCCAGAAACACAATCGAATATTGGTTATTAACTAGTAATAACAATCAATTGCCAGAAACAAGATAAAATAATGACTATTAACTAGTAATAGCAAAGCCACATAAGCATGATAAAAATATACCTCAAACATTGACAGAGTACCACTTCTATATATCTCATCACCAGGGGGGTGCTTAAGGTCACACTTCCTCTGCATGAACAAGGAGCAGAGAAAAGGTATATAAGATAGTTCAGGTCAAGTACGTAAACCTAAAACTTACTTCTTAAAGGGGATAAGTATGCAGGGAAGGGGGGGCAGGTTTCAGGAAAAAAATTCCAACTAAAAACAAGGATATGAAAACCAAATAAATTGAAAATCTAAAAATTAAAATTTCATAAAATAGAATGGACTTTAAATGTGAAGCGAAAATGTTTTAACTAAATCTTTCAAAAGTTTTCTAAGGATGCATCCCAACTAAACATTAAATGTGGCATCACCTTTAAAAACCTCCAAATGTTCAGGCAAATATTAACATGGGCGTGCACAATTGTATGTATTGGGATGCTTTTCTTTTCTTTTCCACTCATTTTTTCTTTCCGTGCACAAAAAAAAAAAAAATCAACACCTGAATGAGATTAAATTTTAACAGTTGCTGTGGCTCCTCAGAAGGTAGAAAGTGGGTTATAATGGTGCAGAGATAACACACCTTATGTTGATTTTCCTTTTTTGGAATTCAATAAGCACCATAAATTTCTTCTATAAGACGGTGCTGATAAGAATACATGTAACTAAACAACAGTTGAAGCAAACTACACATCCTAAAAAGAAAACAGAGACCGCCAAGCAGAAGAGAAAAGAAATTATTCAAACTAATCAGATGTGTACTCCTCTCGAAAAAAGCAAGGTGAACCAAAGAACACCCGCTCCATAAAGAAAAGAAATATAAAAGGAAAACGGAAGCAGTATTTGAGGCACAGCTTACCATATGCCTCTGAAGCTGTTCTTTGAGCTTCATGAAATTGAGGCAAAATTCACAGAAGTACAGCTTCACACAGTCATTATATTCTGGTGGGAATGGGGAGAAGTACCAAGTCTCAATCTCATATCTTCCAAGCTCAATAGTGGCTATATTTTTCACTTTTGTAAATTCCTCATGCTCTCGCAAGCTAGCAGCATCCAGTTCCTCATGCCCCTCCTATAATGAAGCAATACAAAATCTGTGACAAAGCTAGCAGAGCAGCAACTGCATAGTTTGACCAAAATATGCAGATTAGCCTAATAAAATGCATGTGATCGAGCATGCAGAGATTGTCATAGCAGAATGCAATTATCAGCATGAAAATTTAGTGCAGCTTTAACTTGATTTTAATAAAATTGACCATGCAGTAAATATCACCAAACTACATGCTTCATCAGACTTCATGAGTCAGTTTCTCTCTGAAAACCACACAAAACCAAATAAAAAAATAAGTAATAATATTTTTCTCTTTGCTTGTGAAGTGGCTTTCGTTTTTGAAAGGTCGTGATATAGTTCAGTTCCTTTTATAGTACTGCTCATCCATATAAGCAGCTTAGCACAGAAAAATGCATATTTCACGTATAAATTTGTTCAAATGTAAGAGCTGGTACGGTTGCAGAACTAACTATATACATTTCCAAGCATGCAATTGATCAGGAAATGAGATGAGAACTCAATACCTCTACATGTGTTTCATCAATCTTCCGCTTTTGGTGGCGTGTCATCTTCAAGCTTGTCACCTAGGAATTTACAAATGCAATATTCTAAATGAGAGGTAGACGGTATTAGCATAAAAGATGGCCAGCCCATGTGACAGCAGGTACGTATAAATCATTCCAAGCTACCAATAAATGGAGGAATAGTTCTTGCTAACCATATCTACCCAAACTTGAAAGCAAGGAAAGGGAATAATTTGTTTTCATAGAATAAGTAAATTTCAATAAAAATACCCCAAGTTCCATATGCAAATTCTACCAAACCGCGGGATTTGGAAAAGCAGAGCTATTTGGCCAAAATATAACTATTACCTTATCCTCCACTTTCTCATCAACAACAGCCTCCACTGAATCAAGGTCAAGTTGTTCTAGCTTCACCCACTCGTCAAGCCTCCTATTAACTGTCAATAAGAGAAAGCTAAAAAAATCAGAGACTAATACGATAGCTCACAATTGCAATTAATTAGAACTTCTACCAAAGGCAAACAGATACGAAATGACAAGAAGATAGTAGGCTCAAAACTGTTGACATGAAGTGATAATCAGAAAACTATTATGAAACAGGTATACCAAGCATCAAGTTCACAGATATCAATCAAGTAACTATTATGCTACGGAACCCGTTTTCATAACTTCAAAACCTGAACCGACTCGCTCAGCCACCCCATAACGAAAACCCTAACCATTCAAAGTCGGGCGACATCAAGGCTCCGATAAACTGAAGGTCTTACATTCAGTGTAATGGACGTAGTACTCATAATCATTGGGGTCACCGGTTGGCATCTTGCGGCGTTCAATGACCTTTACAGGGTGAAACTTTCCGTCCCTCCATCGGCACAAGACCCTAGTACCAACCTCCAGGGGAAGTAAACCCATCCTACGCCTCTTCGACGGATCGGATTCCATCGGCTTCTCCGACGCCATTTCGACGTCCCCCGTGGGCTGCAAGGGTACCTCATCGGCAGCGGGAGTTTTGCCGCCGCCGGCGACAGGTGCAGTCCCGTTTTCCGTGCTTGAGGGTGTCTCCAGCGAGCCCATTTTAGAGTCCCGATTTTCAGAGGATCCTGATCCTAGTTTAAACGGGGCTGCCAGGGCTAGGACAAAGAATACAGGCACATGACTGGACTAGCCCATTGAATCCCGCAGCCCAATTCATTTTTGGGCCCAAACCCTCAAAGACTTCGGGACCTCTAATTTGGGAACCAAAAAGAAAAGAAACGCGCAGAAGAGGCGAGGGTCACGTCCCGATAACGTGTCTTGTTCTGAAAATCATGAGCAGCTGCTGAGCATAGATACACATCTTTTTTCTGAGCTGAAAAACATGGATGTACAACAGATACACACACATATAAAAAGGAGAATGAATGTCATTATTCATTGATAGTATGGTGCCATGTATAGCATCATGAATAGTTATAGCGGTTCTTCAAATTATATTCTTATGTGGGCATAAATTCAGGTGCCCTTTATCTCTGTTTTTTTTCCTTTTCTTTTGAATGATTAAAATTATTATCACCCCCCAAGGCTTTGATACTAAGGAAATGCGGAAACGGAATGGGACGCTAGCTACCAGCCAAAAAAATTCAGATGAGTTAAGTTCGAGAAGCTTACTAGGACCAGCACATGCTTTGAAGCTTAAAAGTGCTTATAGAAGTATTTACAGATTGTTTACAAACAACATTCTCATATCAATAGTAAGATTCAAACTCATGATTTTATGAGTTATAAACCGACTCCTTGCCAACTTAATCAACTCTTGTTGGTAAAAGAAAATAAGGCCTATAAATAACATGTGAATAAAGCTCTTTGGGTTTATCTTAACATTTAATACATTTTTTCTAATTTTTCCCTTAATTATTTCTTTTCTTTCTTTTGTCACAATATCTCTTATCATATTTTCCCATACCTTTTTTTAATTCTTTTTCTTATTTATTATAAGAGCATATTTGGAAATAAAATTATATTTTGAACACATTTATTACTTTTAACTAATTGTTCGTTACCTGCAAATTAGCTATATGAAACTTATATAGGGAGTATAAGCTAAGACTAACATGTTTATAGCACTGTCGGCATATTTAGATGTTATTGATAAATGCTAATGATCATTATAAGAACTAATCAAATGGAGCAATTTTGTCATGGCCCGTTATGAGTAATATATGAATAAATATTACTACTTTCACTTTTAAACAACCAGTAAATTAACATCACACATACATATACTACTTAAAATATATTAACAAGTTCGGAAAATCAGAGTTCATCATAAACCTGGACTAGCTTTTTAGAACTACATTGACAATAACTCGACAATAAAAGACTACATTTAGGAGCGGACAAAACCTCAAGCCGATTTAATGTCCAATTCAATCATAAGAACACATTTACAGGCATCAATAAATGCACAGTAGCTTCAATTGAAAATTTATCCATGCTAGTTTATTGATTTTTATTGCGTTACAATTGACAATCAGCCTTGATCCTCTGGATGCAACAGATATGCAGGAAGCGAAACATGTATACAGCACTTACAATTTTTAATTTTCTGCCTGAATATAAAGTACAAACTTTGAGAAAGACGGTGGCTACATAATTTAAATGCTCGATGAATCTCATGGCGAGCACTAGTCCTTTGAAAATTAATTTTGTCATCATATGTACAACGACTCTACGAAGAAACAGGTGATGATGCCCTAAATCCTCCCAGGTATTGTTACAAGCAGGAAAGCTCCGGTTGCGTGCTTCCTCGAGTATGAGTATAATGAAATCCAAGCCCTTCTAAAGTAAAAGCAAGCAATGGTCATTCACTGTACAGTTTACTCTTCAACGAATGTACAGCAATGTTGAACTTCCCCGCCAGAGCAGAGCACAACTTCGCGCCACGCCAGGAAAGAGCGGCTGGAGCCCTGTCGCTAATCTCCAGATACATCTTGCCATTCTCCTCAAATGTCCGGATAGTCCGCATGCAAAATTGTATCCGATGATGTGGATGTCGGCCTTAAATAGGCATTCAAAACGTCAAGGAATCCGTCGCTTTACCCATTATGCTCCGCTGGTTCACTCGTAAATACATCCTGCTTGGTTCGCTTATCATTAGACAGGCAATCGGCAGGAACATATGCATATCCTTTAGGTAACATAGAATTCTTCATTGATGCTTCGTCTGACGTCATAACCAGCTCTTTTCCAAATGTCTCTTGATGCTGTAAAGTATAATATGGCATGAGCGCTTGGTACAAATCCAATTCAACCACTAAGAACTAATATTTTAAACGTTTCTAACTATCTTTTTAACAAAAAAGAAGAGGGAAATTGAAACACAAAAACTAAGACATCCAAATCACAGACTGACACAGCAGCCAAATTCACCTTTCTTGATTTTGATCTCCATCCACTGTCATCTGAAAGATTTCGTGATATGATTGAAGCTCTGTGAGGAACCTGCTTGCCAGAAAACTGCACCCTCTCAGGAATCTTATGATTATAATGGCTTTGTGAAGTTGAACAGTCATCATCCAACTTCGGGTCACTGTCCATGGTAACAGCAACTCGTAATCGATGCTTGGCTGAAACTGAGCTGTCCACAGTCACATCATCCGACCTTTGGACAGCTTCACTACATGATCTGTATCCCTCTGTGTTCCCTTTAAGGGATGTTGTAGCTGATTCTGAACTACAATCAGGAAGGATGAAAGGGCTATTCACCAAGACAGACCTAGCAACGTGATCTCTTTTGAAGGCAAGTATGTCGTGTGAACACAGAACCAATTCCCGCTGTAAATTCATGAGGGGGATGGTTAATCATCAACAAAGACAGACAGTTCTTAATAAATACTAAGAATATAGATATATAATTACCAAATATATAATATATATAATTAATAAAGTTCTTAATACAATTCAATTTTAAATTTTTAAATTAAAGTATACCAAAAAACCAGGCAATTTTGTTGTATTAACACTACATAAATAATCAACATAGATACAAAAAAGGTAGATATGAAAATTAAAGAAAAAAGTAGAGATCGGATTTGTTCAATCAATAAAAATTCAAAAATAGAATAATTCAATCAATATAAATAATATAAGAAAGCTTAACCTAACCCCCCCTTTCTTTTTAAATTTCTTCAGAGAATTCTATCAAAAACCAGCTCCTTGAGGATAATGTATTTATAGACCCAAGCATTTAAAAAAAACAAAGAAGGAGAGAGAGAGAGAGAGAGAGAGAGAGAGAGAGAGAGAGAGATGTAAGACTACTGTAACGACCAAATAGAGAAATCTCAGCTAGATTTTAGCATACTCAATATTATTGAAATGCAAAGGTAGATAAACGAACAAATCTCAAATACACGGCACCAATGGAGTACATCATCTTCGCGGTATAATTTACAAGAATTACCTTTATCTTTTCACGTTTGACAATTCTTTCACACAGGAGACGTAATCTCTCTAACTCAACCTGCAAAAAGAATTCACACAATCACCCAAGCAATTTGATTAACTGAAATATTAAACAAGCTGCATCACCCATGACAGTCTGTGCTTCTGACAGAGGCTGTGCTCACATTATTTTATGAATACATGCCCACACTCTTTACAAAGTGGCAATCACAACAACAAAAAAGTAACCATGACAATCATCATGTACAATTGCCATGGTCCTTAGCCTAGCGCTATAGTCCATGAACAGTTATTTGGAGTTCAAAGCTTCCATCACTTTTAACCTTTGGACCAACCCCCCCCGGGGGCCAGCATATCTAGTCGGCACTTTATTTATTGTAGGTTACGAGGTTAAAATAGGATTTTCATCCTAACATCAGTTAGAGAAGGGCTACAATCATGATCTCTTGAAAACATATTGAAAACTTTCTTAAAAAATTAATCAATTCCCAAGAATGGATGCAGTCATAAAGACAACAAAAGGTAACCTCCTAATGAACAAAATCATCAGAGTTCTGTTGATTGTTGAAACCCCCCACATAAAAAATGGAGTCATGCACAGCGCACAGCGCACAGCGCACAGCGCAGCGTTCATTTACAAATAACTACCCAAAGCATTCCATGCGCACTGAGATTAAAGACACATGCGACGATTTATCTTCTATGGCTCTTGACTGCCCAAGAATTAGACGTCCAACTAAAAACCATAAACCTTCCAATCCCCTCAATAAGCAGAACGGCTGCAATTCCTTTATTATCTCTGATGTTCTAATATTCAGAAAAACTTAGGCGAGCTACAGATAGATCCAAATATTGACAAAACATTGTGACTAAAGATTCAGATTATTAGATATGACAAATGTACCTTTCAAACAAATGTATCAAGAGCAACTTCCGAGGAAAGATGGAAGGAGAAATCTTACCCTAATTTGCTTGATACCTTTTAACTCTTCAATTCCATGTTTTTGGCTTTCAGCCTGACAAATTGAGAAACAATGACATAAGCTACAATTATCCCACCTTCAATAAGAATATTTTACCAGTAAACAAAAAATCAGACCTTTGCCCTCTGCTCTGAACCGTGCTTTTCACAGTAAGCCCTGTGCTGCAGCTTGCCACTGACAGCCCTCACATTCATGTAAAAACCAGCGCTTCTAGCACAGGATGGATGAAATGTGGTCTGACAATGGCCATAACTACACTGCAGTCACCATATATGGAACTGGTTAGAAATCATGAATCAAGATAATTCATTCAAAAGCCTGTGGCTATAAGATCAAAAAAAAGGGGGGGGGGGAATTTGGATGTCATCATTACCTTTAAACATACACCTTGCTTGCGGCGGCATATGCAACAAGTGTCAACTCCTTTCAACACAGTTTCCTGGCATTCACCGATATAAATAAGTTTCAGAGCAACTGCATGCTCAAATTTACAAGGTAGGAGTTGCATGTCTTAAGTAACATATTTCCAAAACCTTAGGAATTATATTTTTGGTGCAAGCACATACCATTCCTTCAACAGCATTTACTTGTCCTCTTCTGAAAGTCGACTCAAAAACCCACTAGAACATATTATAAATATAAGCATGTCACACTTCAGCAAAGTAAGACATTGAAAATGGAAAAACTGGCCCCAAAAAAAAAAAAAAAGGAGCATGAATAACCTCAGCACAAAAGGCATGGACCCAATGACCGTCTGAAGTCTTCCTGTAAGCACCAGTAGTACCACCACATATCCCACATTCCGCAACAAAATAAGGTTTCTCCCAGGAATTTATAGAAGGTTGCCCAGATATTCTGAATGATAAATCCTCACATAATTCACAGTACCATGGACCTGTAAATTCCTTCACACTACGATAGCAATTCAAGTGAACAGCAACCTGAAACAAATAACTCCATTAAGAATAACAGATCACATGCTAAGTTCCTGGAAAACAAAAAGGTTTGCAGCAGCAGCCTTGAAACCTTGCAACCGGAGCAGATGAGAATTGGGTTCAATATAGTTTCAGATCGTCTACAGATATCACACAATTTGGGATGCTCCTTAGAAAAATCTGCATCTGGCAGACCCAAATCTGAATGTTTTTCTGATGAATTCCTAAACATAGTTCCTCTAGAAAGTGTTTCTTTAGCCTGTGGCATTGGCTGAGAGCAAACACCAGTCCTTCCACTGGAAGTGTGCTTTAACAAATTCTGAAAAAAAAAAAAAAAGATTCTTAATAACAGCCACAAATAATGCTACCCTAGATCAGAAATTTTATACAATATAAACATGTATATATGACCTCCGGCAGTACAGGTTCTTCAAAGGCATCTTTCCGCAATGAAGAAACCCTAGATGATGCTGCTGCTGCAGCAGTTGCAGCAGCCAACACTGCCTGTGCTTCCTTGTGCCTTCTCTCTTTTCTTCCCTGCTTTTTTGCTTCCCTAAGATCACGGAGGTACTGATTAACAAGTACAGCATCCCATCTTTGCTGGTGGGTTGCATCAATCTCCTGCGGAAGACTCTTAACTATCCTAGAGATTAAATTATCTGCAATTATAAAGGAAAGCATAATCACATATTAATATGATCTAACAAAAACTAGATGGGATATAAAGAATTATTTTAACTGATGAATTAACTTAAGAATTCAATGATAGAGAACATACCAGCAAGCTTCTTCCTTGCAACTGCATTCTGCAATAATCTATGCTGAAGATATATTAGTTCACCCTCCACTTCATCTTTTGGACAAAATTCTAATAAACCCATATCTCTAGCCATAACCAATTGCTTCGTATTTACTTTATCAACATTACGGATGTCACTGCAAGTTACTTCTGAATTTTGGAAACTGGAGCCACCACTAGCCCCTGAGAATCCCTCCAAATAAAAATTTTCTTCCTCCCTTTGACCTGCCAAATGTCAAAGCTACTATGACTGATCTTAAAAACGATGTTGGGGGAAAAAAGCAAAGGTTTAAGCACAACTCACATATAACATCCTTCGAAAGCACCCCATCACGAATCTCCGATAACTTCTTATGGATGTATGGGTGAATATAAAACGAGTTTCCTTCAATCTTCCTGCATCACAGAAAATGAATATGCTGATTGGAACCTATATCCCCCTTAAATTGAAACAGAGAGATTGATACAACGATAGAAATGAAAGATTGATTTGCCATCACCATCCATTACACCTCTAGTAAAATGCCTACATAGCTACCAAAACTCCTAATAGGCATCAACTAAATGTGAATTTCTCCACCACCACATCACAGCCATAACGGATCTCATAAATTCCAAACATAACAAAGGTTGAGCTTGAAAGATCTGTCTTTCACCCGCACACAGAATATGACAACCTCCATTTTCACTTTCATTCATACAAAGAATTAGCTTTATTTTTTTTTTAGCAGAAGAATTAGCTTTATTATTTAAATAAGAAAAATCCATGGGAGAAACAGAGGGGGAAACAGGATAAACTCAAGATTCTTTCTTACTTGAGCCCCTTACAAATGACATCACCATCCCCTTCATGGCCTAATGCCAATGACTATAAACCTATAACAAGCCCAGAGAAACCCCGACTAAATCACATTCATATATTTGTTACATATTAAAAACACACATAGCTTTGGTGACATGCCAAAGAAGATTTCCATTTGATACGCCAATGCTTCATAGATACTATCATGATTATCATTGGCATATGGGTTAGCTCGGAAATAATTTAAAAGAGCATTTCTAAATACAAAGAAATGAAGCGTAAGGACTAAGTTGAAAATCTGACAGAATAGAAACAACCAAATGTCTAATCCAATCAAATAGGTATATCCAATTTCAATAGCTCACATGAAATCAGAAGCGGGTAAATCTGCAGCAGAACAAGGAGAATGGTGGTGATCAGAAAAAATAGAAGCATTAGCAGGCTTTTCTTCCAAAACACCTCCAGATAAGCTTATTTTGCTAGGTTTATCGGCATTCCCTGCATAATAATGTTATACAATGTAAATAAATCAGCAAGAGAAACACCAGATGAAGATAAATGGAACTAGATAAACCAAATTTGAATATAGGTACACCACAATAATCCATAAGTACTCATATAAGTAGCTCAGACAAATTTGCAATGAAAATCAAATCTCAAATTTCATCCTACATAAAACCATGTAGTTTAAAGCGGAAAAATTTAGCAAGAAGACATAAGCTTGTATCTCACGACTAAAGTTTCGTTAGGAAGCCATACCTTGGTAGTCAAAAGAAGCATCCTCAGACTTGGTTAATTTCTGCACAAAATAAAAATACACGCAAATAAAAAATTTATAAAAAGTAAAATTATAGTCCATCTAAGAGGAGCAACTAGCATAGGAAAGCTCACAAAAGTCAAAACTAAAATATAAAAATACCTCTCACATTTTGACTGCAACAAGTACATGAACTAAGTGAATATTGCATATAAACTTCCAATCAGAATCACATTGTAATTAGAATACACTGAACACGTAAATAGATAAGAAAAATTAGAAACTTGAAACATCATACACCCATCAAACGACCATCAAAGCTATACACAACTTGGCTCATTCCCAAGTCAAAATATCATCAAGAACAATTGGTGTTGGATGAAAATCGAGGAACTGGGAACCAACAAAATAACTACTCAAATTCAATGATGAGTTAAAATCCTTTGATGGGTAATATGTCTATATGCAGAAAACTTGAACACCCTAGCTCCAGTAAACTACAAGAGCCCCCCAGAAACACTAATATTGAACGGGGAAATCCCACTACGACACCACAATGGGATAAGATATTACAAAATCCCAACATATCACTCATAACATAATCCTAAATTCCAAATTAACATCCCAAATAACAACCAAATGCTTAATGAATTAGCCAAGATTAATTAAAATATCCTCATACAGCATCACCAACCGTCCAAATACGAACAATATCATTGCGAGACAGCATTCACAAGATGAATCACCATTCCCTCAATACCTATTGCGTTCTAAAGCAAGCATTCACTAAAATTGGAGAAAGGTCAAGAGCATGAAACGAGAGAGTTTTGGGGGGTATTTAGGTGGAGACAAAACCATGGTTTTAAAAGTGATTTTACAGAATACGAAGTAAATATGTGGAGGAATTTGCCTCGTTTTGTAGAAAAGTGCTTTTTAAAAGCACTTTTACTTATTGCCAAACACCCCCATAACAGCAATTCTTTGATGGTTCCCAATCTTGGATGAGCAAATAATCTGACCAAGCATTTGATAAGCAGGTCTTTCAGTTCAGAACCACAACCTTCGTACAAGGGGCACAAATTGATAAAATAAAATTATAATCAAAGACAAATACAGATTAGGGAGGAGTGAACCACAGAAGAGTGAAACTCTTAACAAAAGCAATTCCAGAACATGGATTAATTAGGCTTCGAAAAAGATGACTACTACAACGCAAAATTACCATTTCAGTTGCATCAGGCATGGACGCTTCATTCAATGTTTCCAAATTTTCATGTTCAAATTGACCTCCCTTGAACTTGTCCATTGGCATTCCGCTCTCTCTAGACACCACCCCAGATGAACACATCGCTTTGTTATTCAAAATCCTGATATTACCAGTTGTTCTTCTCCTTGAAGGCACTGACTTAACAGCAACAGGATCTGGCAACTCAGAATCTGATATCTGTAAAGAATCAGAACCATCAATGATTCCATTTTCATCCTTGGATGAATTGGCAGGCTTGAATTTGACTTTCAAACTTTTCTGAAATGCATTAGTATATACATGAGCTTTTAGCCAATTGACTATTTTGATTTGCACATCAGGGGCCATGCAAGAATCCTGAAAGAAGGAAAAAAGAGAACTATAATAAAATATTAAAAAAAACCACTCAATCACCATTTGCAGCGTGATAGACTCAGTATTTTAAGCCTTACATTAATATTTGCGCTTAATGTATCTGAAGAAATGCCAATCTCCAAAGCTACATCTTTAATATCAACTTTTCCTCGATCTATCAACTGCCAAGGAGCAACTTTCAATCCCAGGATTCACATCACGATAATTACATTTAATGATAAACACACAAATGAATTCACTTTTGATGCAAAGTACCTTTTTCAAAACAAGTGCAAAACCAAGGGAGTCAGATGCATTGGCAATTTCATCAGTCCTCCCCACCACAGCTGTATTATTTAGTTGTGGCAAACCACTGCATTCTGATGTTTCATGAGCATTTAACTGACAATCAGACAAAATTTCATCGGGCGGTTCACTATGACTCAATTTATCAGGACTGCCATCAGAAACTATCCCAGTACCATCTCCATTTTGGCAACCAATTTTCAAATTCTGCTGTGTGCCAGCTGGAAGGCTGTCAGCAGAAGATAAATCACTACCAAAAGCTACAGAGCCACCTGAAGGCAACATGGTGCTGTTCTCTTGTATATCTGAGTGCTTGGAACAGAACGCTCGCAACTCAATCTGGCCACAAGACACATCATGAGAGCAAATAATCAATTCCTCAAACAAGGTTGGGACACTTGTGATCAAAGGAGGAAAATGATGTTAAAAATGTAGAGTCGTTCCTAAGATGATCCTAAGCATTTCGTTTATTATTCTTTTCCTTTTCTTCACTAGGATGGGGGGAGAAAAGAATTAATTTTTTTTCCTTCCAAATATAGCATACTCACATTTTCATAACCATTTTTTGCCCAAACCTCCATCCTGTGGCTAGCTTCCCGGGCACATAAAGGATGGAAAGCAGACCTACAGGATCCTGTAACATCAACCAGCAGCAAGGAGTTATAAACTATTGAATGGGAACTTGAAGTGTAAAATACACAATGAAGAACCTCAGCAGCAACCGCCATAGAACACATCAAAGCTAACCAATCAAATATAACTACCACTCAGAAATATGGAATCAACAAACGCCAGACGCAGCTTGCAATACATCAAACAACTGATGGTGTTGTAAAGTATATGTAAAACACAATACTTGAGAAGGATTGGGGGAAAAGCAGCTTTTATATGAGGAAAAACCACATAACCAGTACTGAACCACAAATGCTACAGTACAAACCCCTTTTTAGAATAATTATGACATAATGTATTACTCAAAGAGCATCAAAGATACAATCTTACAAAAATATCAGAAAATAAACGGAACCAAAACAACAGTCAATCATTTTCCCTAAATCTATCATCATCCTCACCTCTTGAGAGAAAGGTCAGGGATGATCATAGATATGACAAAAGTTACCGAGACTAAGAGCATTTCTAGCCATCGCATCAGACTCCCTAATGTTCTCTCTGTACACAACTACAAACCCCTCCAATAGAACTTTTTTGTAAACATTCTAGAGGGCTGCTTCTGTAATCCACTTTGTAACCATCACAAGAAATGCTATACCACAAAAGATAAACATATATACCAATATGTAACTTTCTTTGCTGTTTTCAGAACAACTTTAAGAGCATTAACGCCCAGCTTTCAGTTACAGAACATTATTTCCCCACAGTTGCATATATCACACTGCTGTTTACATGAAGTATGATATCACAAGGCTGAAAATAGTCCTTAAGAGCAATAAAATCAATGCATCATCCAATCACAAAGAAAGAGAACAGTGTGTGATCATTCAAAGTCAAATTGAACAGCAATAGCCCAGGCAAAGATAAACGAAAACATTTTCTGCTGCAATAACACAGTAGAAACAGACAATGAATTGTTTCTGCTGCAAACCTGCCATTTTAAGCAGAGATTTTTTCCGCTTTATACAACAGATGCAGTCCAAACCAATAACGTGCTTTGGCCATTTTCACCCTTCATATTGAAGATGTTATGCATTAAGGCCCAAGGTGAATTAGCAAAAACAAGACCAGAACGGCAACATGAATTGGGTGTGACATTATCACCAGCCGAAAGACTGATTCAAATCACAAGACACATCTAGTCTACATCAATGAAGTAAGACTAGAAGCTACCTTTATAAACCAAATCCATGAACATCCTATTTCCACTTTAGCTTCAAACATAGCCCCATCTCCCATCTCACGGTCATTTAAATGTCACTAGAAGCAAGGTTAAAAAGGACTTCCCTGCTTCAAGTTTGTACTCTAATTAAAAAAAAAAAAAGTCTAGTCAAAAGAGAAACTTGGGCAGTTTTTGGTGTAGAGGCATCATAATTATTAACGACTCTCAACCCTCTATATGAAGGACTGGATCATGAGATGTACAAAATTACAAAATAAATAATGATAAATAATCTACTTATAGATTTGGAATATATACAGCACACAAGTTTTAAATTTTACATAATTGCTATATCCAAACATCTTATTAATAGGTTTTAAGTGCTTGGCAAACTAGAGAATCCACATACCGAACACCACCTAAAAGATTCTTCATATTTCAATGTATTTGGCCACTATGAAGTAATGGGAACCAATGCATAAATTCTCTTTTGGCGTACCACACTTAGAACCTCGCAGACGAAGAAGAAAACAAACATAGAAGACTGCATAAAAGATATGAATGAGAACTGGGTCTAACAAAATGCCACTTGAACTGGAAACATCGCATCGATATGCCACAACTTAACACGGGTTTATCATAAAATAAATAAGTTTACTCAAACATTTAACCAAATTGAAAGTTAAACCATTGCAATAAAATGATCTCTCTATGTAGTCTGAGTCAGCAAAAATTTCTTGTTTTGGACTTTAAATTCTCAGCCTTTGCTCACTCTGATGTTTGCATTCATGATCACTGCAGTTCTAACAGTTTAAGGCTATACTTACAAAAATTTTCGCATTAAAACATTGCAATGGTGATGAATTGACCAGCCTGCACCTTGATACAGACCTTTAAAGTCAAATAGTCAATAAAACATAGAACGGAAGGATCAAATGCTACTCAGCATTGGATAAAACCACTTGCATTCATTAAAATGAGTTCGCAACACAAACAACATTTGAAATTGCACAAAATTATCAGACCATCTTCCATTAGCAAGTGCCCCAAAATCCCTTGATTATAGACAAATACAAAGATGTGACTAATGACGTGAACTAATGGACATAATACAGCGAATCAGAGCTCTAACAGATGCATAATGATCAACAGTTCCCCAACACTAGAATGGTCTCCAGAATACCAGCCTACGAAAAATAATTGGATAGTACCAGAGGGCAACAAAACATACCATGGGTACATCGAATACATGCGCCAAACTTCAACTTGCAAATATTACAGACTAATTTTTTTCGGGTTTCCTGGACTCCTCCTACATTCATAACAGGCTCCATCTTCTTCAAATCCTCTATATAAACCTCAGGCATCCACAAACAACAAAACAAGTGAGCAAATTGCGCAGACCCAGCGCTTTCCGCATGTCTATGGACAGGCTTTAAAGCGCCGCCCTTCTTTGGACAAAGCACGCAAGGATACGCCATTTTATCAATGTCATCCTTTTGCTTGCACCAAGAGCACAACCAAGACTCGTCTACATCATCTTGCACACCATAGCAGTTCTTATGAACTGCAACTTTACAAATATCGCAGACAATTAATTGATTGGACTCTCTACTGGTGTCACCCCTGCAGCAATAATGGCACAGAGAAGAGTCTCCACCACAAGGATTGGCCATAAAAAATCTCTCCAACCCAGCTTCAACACCCAAAACCTTCCTCCTCTTTGAAGGGCGCTCAGTAATGAGAGAAATCTTATTCCTACATCCTAAAAGCCATTCTAAACTACTAGACGAATTCAAAGTATCATGACCCTTGTCATCCTGAGCTAAAACTCCAGCAGCAACACTGTTACTTTCCATGACACAGTCCTCATTCTTGACATCTTCGCTATTTAGGTTCCCATCAGTTTCCTTGTCATCCTCGTAACTAGCTACATTTGACCTTGGAGCATTTCCCACTGGTGGAATAGAAAGACACTTCCGGGCAGCTAAACTAAAAGAGGATGATGCCTCTAACAAGGTGTCTATGTCCGGCAATTTCAAGTCTCTAAAGTAATCCTCAGTCTCAACCCAAATGCTTGAACTACGCGACTTATCACATGCTCTAGACGATTTCTTGTCCGCACCCGAATGGGACTTCTTGTGGCGCCTGCGACTTTCAGAATGGCGGTTTAAGAAGCTTGCCCACCCACTGGGCAGTGTGGGCACCGTCGACGTTGAAGTCTCTTCCGCAACATCAAAAGGCGAGCGCTCACTGAGCGCTTTTATAGCCTGCGAGTAGTAATCAATTTCAAGTGCAGTGGCGTTATCAGAATTTTCCGGTTGGGTCCCCGGGGATTCAACCGGAACCCTCGAAACCGGGCAAGGCATGCCCTCGGTTCCGCAATATCCCTCCACACCCCTGCCCTTCACCTTCTTCCTCCGGTGACATCGGCCCCCGGTCATCGCCGGAAACAAACCAAATAACCACTTAAGCATACCATCGTTGAAAATCCAAACCCTATCCTATGTCCTGCTCCAACCTCGCTCAGGTTGCCCCTACCACAGTGAAGAACCCTGGTTCTAAAAATCTAATCGGACATCATTTCTGTATTCACGTGCACAGTGTGAGGGGGAGGTTAGGATAAGCCCCGGTCTAGGGTTAGGGTTCAGTTATTCTGGTTCGTATTCTTTCGGATCCGTTTTTTAGACTAATTTGTTTTCTCGCAGTTCGATGTCGCTTTCGAGGGCAGAGAGAAAAGAAAAAGAAAAGGGCAAAAAAATAAAGGAGGGAGATTCGCGTTTCTTGCAGGAGTGAGGGAGGCTCGTTTTGACAGATATTTTTATAAGAGAGTACTTTCCAGTGCTTTGCCGCCATACGATTGCTTTCGTACACCGCATATGAATTCACACGTGGCATGTTTAGAACGATCACCTCGCCGGTACCCTCGGGTCCAAAATGTTCCCCGGCAACAATAGCGATTTCTCTTGGCCGGAAAAAAAAAAAAGAAGAGAAAAAATAAACAATGGCGATACAGCAATAGGAGTATAAATATATTTTTTTTATCAGTTGAGTAGTGGATCACTGTTGTTCATCATTAATTAATCATTATCATTAGTAATCAACAATTATTAGTAAGTATAAGATGTAGAAATAGAAAAACTTCAAACAAATCATGCAACTCGTTTCCAGCGTAAGCCCGCGTCTACGTAGCTAATAAAAGGGATTAAATTTCACGCCACACATCCCCTTTAATTAGGTGGTTAAGTGAACCATATTCTGTTGAGGTCCTCCTCTCAATTAAAACTCTAAAAGCATACTCTTTTGTTTTCTAATGTGTCCCTTCAAAAGTTTCTCTCAGTAGATTCTAGATGTAAAAAGTATTTGGGTAAAAATAAAACCATGTTTCAAGAATATTTTACGGTATACAAAGTAAATACGTGGAGGAATTTGTCTCGATTTACGAAAAAGTGCTTATAAAAAGTGATTATGTGGTGTTCCAAACACTTCCGTAGGTGAGATTTCCTAGTTCAGGTCAGGATTCTCTTTGTAAAATCAACAATTTCAAACACCCCCTCCTTCGGCCAAACACCCCCCCAAAAAAAAAGCCTTGATTGCTTGCATGCTGACTAAACCCGTGTTAACCGGTTTATTGGACTTCCCATCCACAATAGGATTCAAAACAAGGAGGCAATCCATATGGTCGTTATTCGTAATTTCAACAATTTCTATAAAAAATATTATAATTTAAGTCAATTATTTAGTAGCTTTGTATACATTATTACTTTCAGTCATTGATATAAAAATTAGTTGACTAATTTAAATATATTAGGAGGGTTTGTTAAATTAGTTATCTTATAATAAATAAGTATTATATTCCTTCAAATATAATTACTAATTATGTATATTAGCTGAAACTACTATTTGATGTAACATTTAAAATTTTGGAGGTGGTCATTTTTATCATGTTATATTTGGCATTTATCTAAATTTGTACACTGGTATCTAAATTCACTAAGACTGGTCAGATATATATATGAAGAAGTATGGGAACAAAACCTTTTTAGATAACAACTAGACAGATACTTGGATGGTAATAAAATACAATGATACCATAAAATCTGTGGTCCATCAAGATGGGTAAAATTTTTCCCACGGGGCGAAGCTCGTATTCAGCAATTTGTATCCTTTCGAAATGAAGTTCAACCAAGAAATTATGAACCGTTTTATTCAAAAAAAAAAAAAAGAAATTATGAACCGCATCGCACGTGGATATGGAGATAAAAGGTGAACAGGAGAGCTAAAAGTAGTTGTTGACTGGAAAATGAGGGGGTGGAACGTAGAAAAGCGGTTGGCGAGACCCCTTTCTTAAGACATTCTAGATAACAACCAAACGACCCACGCGAATATGTGATAAAGTTTAAGATTAAATGCTGTCGTTCATTGGAGCATAAAGGATGCAATACTTGAGTGTAGTAATTGGTATTCACAAGTTTGGCCAGGCTGGAATTGATCTCGTCCAATAAAAATATTCTGTACTCATCCTTCATTCCTTACCCGGTTTGGCACTAGGTGGAGTTTGACCTGGGTAATAAAACAATAATACAAATTAAAAAATATGAAAAAGAAAATAATTACACTCACCTTAAATAAACCTTTTAAAAAAATAACGTCAGAATGAAAAATATAACCTATTTTTACAATTACGAATAGTGCACATCATTTTTTTCAATATATTAGGTTAAGCAGTTAGCTTAAATATACTTTTCATTTAAATTTTAAATTTAAAAAAATTTATTTTATAATATCTCCCTGACAATCATAAAATCAATTTCTTGGACAAAATATGGGAAGAAAGACGATAAAACCCATGGATCAATATTCACAGAAAAGTACTCCAAGTAACCCACATGGGCGGGATAAACCTGGCCATGCAGACCTCTCCACCAGCCCAATGGCACAGCACACTTCGTGTCTCAAGCGGCACCGGGCCGAGTCTAAACATCATGCCACCCCTCTTGTAGAGCCCAACCCGAAGGACGCATTGGGTCAATTTAATGCCGAGAGTTAAATTGTGGCCGGCTCAATATTATTATCATTATGAAAATTAAAAGAAAATTTAAAAAAAAAAGTAATATTTCAAGTGTTAATGGTGATGCTGGTCCCAAAAAAGGGTTAATGTTGACGAAGCGATTTCTTCTGCATCTCTCTTTCCTTTTTGGACCCAAAAATTAATTAAAAAAAAGAAAAGCGAAGAGGGTTTGAACTTTATGAATTTTTTTTTATTTTCATTCATGTTATTTTTGACCATTTTTCTCATACTGTAAACAGAGTACACAAGGAATATAATGGCTTAAAATGGGGAAAATACCATATCAACATGATCTAAGATTAAAAGTAAACTTCAATTCCTTTTTTCCCGTAAAATTGACCAAAAACATCGTAAACTTTATCACGTAAAATCAAACCCTCTTGAAAAGAAAAGAAAAGATCAAAATACCCCAAAAGGATGCAATTGCCCCGCGCCTTCAAAGCAGACAAAATAGCCCCTACGCTATGCCTAGCCAACCAACCTATGAGTTTTGACTGAAAAAGAAAAAAGGGTTATGCAGGCAGGATTGAGGCACCTGTAACTTATTGCCCATATTTGCAAAATGCAGGTTTCAAAACCCACCCTCTTCCTTCAACCCACATCATCCGCCTTCTCTCAAAGCAAAAGGGAAGAACGTAACTGGCCATCTGCCACCAAAAATTGAATTTTGGATCAATTATCCATGATAAAACTACATCAAGCATCTGATTCAGAATCAGAAGAGCTTGATTCTGCTGATGCTCCACACAAGTTAGTTGCATGAGGTTCAAACAACTTGGACAGCTTTGGCTGCATGCCCTGGCATAGCTTGAACGTGGTTGCAGGACCCAACTTCATGAACTGAAAAACAGAAAATCAACAAAGAATAAGCAAAACTGATTTTGTTGATCACTGCAACCAATTTCTACAGAGGCATTTCGCAAATCGCAAGTACGATCTTGAAACTCCAGTACAAACACCCCCACTCTTAAATATCCGCAGCTTGCAATTCGCCAAATATTATTTTGTAGGGCACGTAATTATAATTTTAAAATCACTCAACACAAATTACTTAACCTTCACTGGCAAAAGAAAAGCTCGATAATTCATTGGCAAAAGAAAAGCTTGACAACAGACAAATAGATTGATGCCAAGCATGACAACACTATGAATATAATAAAGTATAAATTTTCTAGCCAGTTGTATTATTTACAAGCTATGCAAAACACATTATTGCCGATCTGGTTCATAAATGAATAAAGAAACCTCGCAAATCCAATTTATGATAATCCCAAACAACAGAAAAACTAAAGGAGGGTTAAGTGTTGCTCACCTCCTGATAGAAGGCATTGATCTCCTCTTCTGTAAGGCCTTCATCCTCACCAGAATTTTCCTCCCACCCAAGTGAACGAAGGAATGCAGCCTCTTCCTCGTCAGGATACACAGTATCACTTTGAACAAAATCTTTCTCTTCGGTATCAGGAAATCTGTGAGTCCCTTCAGGGGCATCACCATTGATAGTCACTTCAGCAACATTTCCAAGAGGTTGGGGGCACGCAGGAGGACTAACTTCCCCAGCTAATTCAGCAGATTTTTCCATTGTAGGAGATGAATGGATGGGGGCGGAATCAGTATTACCAGTAGAGGAGTTCATCAGAGTTTTCTTCTTAATGAGATTGAAAAAATCATTGCGACTCTGTACTTGAGACAAGGAAGGCTTCTTATCCATAGTAGAACCTAATTTTGGATCCACTGATGCTGGCTTCCGGTCTGTGGAAGATTTCAGATTATTGGGGTTCCTCAAGGGTGTAGAAGTAGCTGCAGAAGCAGCAGAAAGATTGTTTCCAGATTTGATGTTAGAGAAATTTGTTGGAGATGAAGCATCCTTAGAAGTGGGGGAAAGACCATTTTCCCACACAACTGATTTAAGATCAGTAAACTTCCCAGATGTCTTTGGAGCATCGGACTTAGAATTTCCACCACGAAAGGATAAATTGGAAATGTTTAGTGATGAGGGTTGTTGTGACCCACTCTTGCCAGCAACATTCAGCTCAGGAGTTCTGACTGCTGTTTTGGGCTTTAATTTCTCAGAAGTAAGAACCTGAGAGGAAAGCGTCACTAAATTACCAAATTTTCAAGTGTGGAAACTAGAATGTCTACGCCCACCATGTTAAATCGTAGCCAAGACTTCTAAAGTTTTTTTTTTAATCATAAAAAGGACATCCACTCATGACAGATTACAATTCTCAGTAACCGAACAGGATCAAGTCCCAAAAGTATAGCCAGAAAGAAAGAGTGAGATGCAACGGCAATCAAATAGAACCTCTACTTATAATATGCTCCACCACATGAATTTAGCTGACTAATATAATCCTTTTTTCCAGAAAAATATAAAGGCTAATCAATCAATTCTGCTACATAATAAACTTGATTCATGATTAAGGATTAGAATCCCAATCAGTCACTGTTTCCATTACGTGGAAGACAAATAAAAATACTATAACATTATAAGGAAAGATATCATAATACTATTATTCTAATACAAAATGAGAGATCCCCGTAACACCTCTACACATGGCTATTCTATGATGAGAACGCATAAAAATAAACAGCTTGTGAATTGTCTAAGAAACAATCAAATAGAAGAGTCAAATATGTTCTTTCTGAATATACTACCTCCGGTCCTAATTATAAGATCCAGTTGATTAATTTGAGGAGATTAAGAAAAGAAGTTAAGTTAGTTATTTGTAATAAATAAATGTTATCTTTCCTAAAATATCCTTGCTAATTAATTATATTGGCTAGAACTACAATTATTAGAAGGACTATCTTGGAAAAAAAATACATAAATATGAGAGACAAAATGGATTGGGGTTTTATATTTAGGACCAAAATAAAAGTCAAATAGGGTCTTATATTAAGGACCAAAGGTAGTATATTGAACATGTAATGTCAAAAATACATGCTAAATATGTTCAAGTTAGAAAAGGCCAAGCAAAATGTCAAAATTGCATTTTTTGCTCTAATATAAAGCCAAATTAATTCTACCCGCAAAGAAACCAACGTTGTTAGCTAAAAGCCACATCACCTAATTTTGCATATGTAATTCCTTGATAGCTGAAAACAATGTTGTTATTTTCTTGGCACAAAAACCCAAAAAAAAAGGAATAACATCTAACACGTAAACAATCAGTTACATGTAGGGGGGAAAAACAAAAATATATGGAGATCTGGAATATAGAAGTATTATTAAAAATCTAATTACATGATAAATCCACAAACAGAAGTGACAAAACGGCCATATATGTCCCATAAAATATGTCAAAACCAATCTTCTTACCGAAGCTTTGGGCATTGATGGTGTTACTGGAATTAACTGTCTTGACTGCTTAATAGCCAGTTCCTCAAGCCTTTGAGTTTTGACTGACACCTAAAATGAATGAAGATGCTATTAACTGACCACACATGCAGTGCAAACATAGAAATAACAAAAAAATGATATAGTTACCCAGGTCTACCTGGGGAGCAGAACGAGCACGGGATGGAGCCTGAGCCAATGCCTCAGCCATGTTAAGACCAGCTGTTGTACTCAGAGCCGCAGGCCCAGAAGTTGTAGAAGCAGGTTGTTGCATTGTTAGAGACCCAGTGCTATTGCTTCCAATTACTGTAGGTACCTCCGCTAGTGCAGATGTCCATCCCTCCCCCCCAATTAAAGCTGAACTACCAACAGGTAGACTTTGACTTGATGTAGCAGCCAATACAGGAGATGAAACTCGTCCCATTTCAGATATCCCCTGCTTCTCTTCAGATCCAAGTGAGGGAAAATCCTTATCAAACACTGCTTTTTGAATGCTACTGCCAATGCTAGCCCCGGAAAGTAACCCATTGCCATTACTATGGTTACTGTTGCCCCCAGTTTTTGTATCAACTGCAACTCTTCTAGGCAAAAGCTCACTCTGTTTCCTAGAAACCATTGAATTAGAACGCCGCAAGGTGTCTCTCTCTACTCTTCCAGAAAAGAGATTAATCAAAGGATCAGAAGAGTCACGATCCCAGTGATCTCCAAAATTCAGTCTCTCTTTCTCCCTATCACGGTCCTTATCACGGTGATTTCTGTTGAAATTACTGTATGCATGCTTGGTAGAACCATTGACGGAACTCCTCCGAGAATTTGATGAAGATGACCGTTCAAGAAACGCAGAGCGTGGGCTATCAAAATCAATAGTACTCTTAGAAGATCTATTCCTTGTGTGTTGAGCAGCAGATGAAGCATCTACACAACAGTGATTATACTGTTAACTTTCTTATACTAACAATGCAGTTGGGATGAGTTCCAAACAATTAAATCTGGCACACATATTGATTCGTTTAAAGGAATATCTCACAAAAAGCCTATACAGAAAATTAAATAACAACGTAATTAGAGAATTTATAACAAAATACCCGAGTGAGTAGAGGAAGACGCAGGATGGTGGGCTGAACTGCCAGCCCCAGTGACACTTCCAGCACCTCTCAACCATTCTGGAATCAATGCAGGTTCACTTCGTTCCATAACGAACACTGAACATGATCAGAACTAACACAAGAAGCACATGCACCTTCTTCAACACCTCTACCCCCCCTTGAGCAAATATTATACTTTTGCACGCAATTATTGGTTCTAATCCTAGCCCTTCATCCTTATCCTATATGCCAGAACCGGTAAAAAAGACCTCTGTTTAAGCACAGACTATGCCAAATGGAAACAGTAGAACTACAGCTCAGAATATGGATTAATAGACAAATCAGTATCCACCAATAGTTGGTTAACAGAAGCTTGACTTCAGGGAAGCAACACCTTAGCAAAATAACCTGGCAAGATTTGTTAGGCTTCCGCACAAAATCTACAGTCTTCCCGACCAGACAACCAACTGTTCATCAAAGTTATCGCAGATTTAAGAAAGTAACTGCCAAATAAATACACTAACGTATGTATGAAGTCAAGGAATCCTTGAGCAAATTCTCCAGTGAAGCAGAGAACATATCCTTGCACGCATGCCCAAGCAGGAGAGTGTTATATAAGGCAATGTTGGAAGAAAAAGCTTCTCCACGCCGCCATCTTCAGATAAAGATGGATTTGCAGATGGCCGTAATATACTCAGAGATGCCTCATTCCTCCAGCGAAGAGAGAATAAACAATTGGGAGTCCAGACATCAAAGGAAGAGTCCAAATATTGATGACCAAACCAGAGCACCTACGTATTTTAAGACGCCAACAAGCCCTAGTAGAGACAAAGAGTTTAGAGTCGAACGCAGATTAAAAAAATTCGAGAATTGAAACCCTAGAACCTATGCATGGTCATTGTTGATCAGTATGAAGAACATACAGAACCTAGGGTTACAGAGCAGGGGAAAAAGTAGGGAAAATTCTAGAAAAATTGGAAAGCGAGAGTGTTCGATAAAAAAAAGGAAGAGAACGAAATAAATGAACAAGGAACTAACCCAAAACGCAGAGATTGATGATGGATGATAGAAAACGTAACCGTTATCAAAAACCGCCAAGCGAATTGCTGACTGAAAGGGATGCGTTTTTCAGCGAAAGAACTAGAGATGAAAATAAAACAAGTATGATTGTGGAAAAGCGGAATGGGGTTATCGTATTCGGAGAGGGAAATAGGGTTTTGTTTTGAGAGAGTGCGATGTGTGGGGGTGCGGGGTGAGTAAGAGAGAACGCGAGAGAAGGTATAATTTCTGTTAGTTTCGGATACTCAGTATCAAACGTATGAAGAAGAGCCTCTCCTTCTAACAAATCTTAAATCCTTTTTTCCATATATTTTTATTTAATTTTCTGTCTTTTTTGCGTTCCTTAGTTATAGCCTTGCCTTTCACGACTCCACCCGGACCCGGGACCCCCTTCCACCCTTTAGGTTTTCCTTTTGTTTTTGTTTTTTTGTCCTCTTTTTATCTGAAGCCCTAGTTGTTTTTTCTCATTTAACAAAGCCCTAAACAATTTTTTTCCACACATAATAATGAGTTGTCGATATAAAATGATATATGGTCTGTAATTCTCCTTGACCATGGCCAACGGGTTTCGTTGAACGAGGCCTTTTTGTTTTGTTTTTTGACCAGGCCCGGATTGATGATATATGGTCTACAAATTCTCCTTGACCACACCGAATGGATGTGGCAGCTCATATGCACGATTGCCGATGGCACACTGGTGATGAGCTGCAGAGCTGCGTAGCAGCCACGTTAGTAAAAATATCTACTTTGTATTTATATCTTAATTCCTAAAATCTTATAATTTTAATTGCACATGTTAAAAAATTTATTGATGAAACAGTGATTAAATGGAATATTTTGAGAAAATCAACACATATTTATTACTAATAACTCGATTAATTAATTTATTCAATATTTATCAATTAGTTATTTAACTTTATATATTAAAATCCAACAAAATCTGCCGCATTTAGGCGTGTTAAATTTATTCTCGTTCTTAAAAGTATGATTTGTTTTAAATAAACCAACTTTGGAAATTTTTCCTTTATCTAATTTTCTATTTGGGATCATTCACGGGGGAAAAGCCCCTCCCTTTCAGTCTTTGAAATTCAGAAGGATGCCATGCAAAGCGCTAGGCGTCTTAAAAAACACTTGGATGAGCCTTTACCCCTCACGAATTTCCCCTGGGGAGTTTCATACGACGTCGTATGGTTCTTCGTTTTCTTGCCTTCACGATTGCCTGCATACTCTTATGGCGTGCTCTGTTTTTTTCACAGACTCTGAAACTTTGACCCAAAACCACTTAGCAACAAGTCAACGGCAAGAAATGCTTAAAGAGTCTTTAATTATTACGCCGGTTAGGGGATTTCTAGTGCTGGCATGTAACCATTAATTTAAAGTCTGTGATGCATCTTGTGGAGGCATGTCGATAAGGATGATTAAAATAAATAATACAGGTGAGATAACTGATAATGAAACTGACTTACATAAAAAGCCTACCGCGTGGCTAAAAACTGGCTTGTCTGGCTTTCAGATTTAGAGTAGCGTGATAATAATTCCATGCCAGGTGTTACATTCAACTCGGTCGAAGTTTTTCCAACGTAAAAGTAACCCCTTATCATTGATTAAACAGGAATTCATAAACCTGCTTAACCAAACGGTGATGATTGAAATTTACGCCCACTTTTGTGTTCCAACGAGCTTGTATGATTTCTCCTCGTTCAACCAAACAAGCACCCAGATAATAATGTGACTAAAAATAAAGACGAAGAATGCTAAAAATGACGATAAAATGAAGAGGATGATCCTTATCTGCTGCCCTTGTAGCGTTTTTGTTGCCCGCTGCTCGGCAACCTGCAGCTCCGGTCACTTTGATTCACGCACGAGACTCCTGCGATCAATGCGTCTCCACCTCGCGCGTGTGCTGGAAAACGATTTGACGTCCCTGAGTTGGGAATACTGTGTTATAACTTGAAATATTTGGTTAGTGCTTGTCGTGTTCGATCTATCTTTCCACGATGCTGATTTAATTGTCTGAACTATTCTTCTGATTGTTAATGTAAGATTTAATTACCCGCCACATTGATGGAATGTAGGAGTATTACTCATCACGTCGTGGCATGCGCTGATATTTTTACACAATTCACATTCATATGAACGCTGGAATTATAAAAAAAAAAAAAAAATCACCCAGCTGTCGTATATGGTTTTGGCTCGATGAATCAGGTGTTATTAATAATTATCATACTCTACCGTTATTTGATATAGAACCCAATTACTGAGTTAGTTTTGATCCTAAATATAAGACTCATTTCTTGAATTTATCAATTTTCTCTAAATTATCTCTATGGATACTTCATCAGCCATAATCAAGTAGAAGAGAAAGATGGGTTATTAAGAAAGATAATTATGGTATTTTAAGAAAAACGTTCATGTTTCTTATAATTAACTAACTTACCTAACTTCCTTAATCTAATCAAATTAGTTAAATGGATTTTATATTAGGGATGAAAGGAGTATATATACAGTGGTCATATAATAACTATCAATACAAAACATATGAAAAATATTAAAAATTATTAAACATGCCATTATTAATAAGTATGAATAATCTTGTTTATCTTCTATACACAAAACTAACGCAGTAAGCTAGTAACCCGGCAAATTCAGCATCCTCGCAGGAGCTAGCTAAAAAGACAACTCATAAATTTATAAATTTTTTTAAAAATTATTTCGATTGACTGCAATACAATAATAAGGTTTTCATCTATATAGGCAGTGATTAAATGGGTTATTTTAGATTAATTGATGTTATGAATAATTAATTTAATTAATTTTTGCTAACATTTAATTAACTTTTTAAACATCTACACAGTGCCTATTTGATTAAGCGGTGGGGTTCTAGATAGATAATTATGTAATCTATTTATCTCATTTGGCTAAATTTTTTGAAATTCTGGTAAACCATGATTTCAGTCTCAGTCACATGTCCGATGATAAGATATTAGGAGTAGCTTTTGCAACTGAAAATTCTCGATGGAGATTTAGGGTGTGTTTGGGTGACACCCCAAACCATGGTTTGGGGTGTCAATCACCCAAACACCTCCTCTAAAAACCAAAACCATGGTTTTGGGTCAAAACCATGGTTTTGGGTCAAAACCATGGTTTTGACTCCAAAACATGATTTTGGAAAAAGCAAAAAATTTTGCTTTTAGAGAAAAAAGAGAGAGTGTGAGAGCCTATATGATATGTATCTTGTATTTTTTTTATAAACATATTTTTTGATAAACATATTTAATCTTATATTTTATAAATATATATACACATTAATTATTATTAATTATATTATCTTATGTATTATTAATTATGTTGGTAAAAAATATATTATTAACAATTTTATTCCTTCAAATTAAAATTATCATAAAAAATATTTTTTTTGTGTATTATCATATTAACTTATGTATTTTTTTAAGTAATTTGTATATATAAAAAGTGTTTCTGATAACAACTATCCAAACACTCTCACTCTCAGAATCACTTTTTACAAAATCTATTCTTCACAGAATCTATTCTCCAGAATCACTTTTCCAAACCACGGTTTGGTTTCATCCAAACACACCCTAATAGCAAAAATCTCTCCTAGCTATCCTTAATAATAATTATTATTAAATTAAAATTATATTTAGATAAAAATAATAAATACTTATAAGAATTATACTAGATTGTATTTTTCTTACCTAATCTTATTACTTTTCAGTACTTATATATCTATAAGTGATTTTAATAAATAAAATCCAAACATAATCAACATTTTCAAAATCACTTGTAGAAAAAAGTATTTAAACAAAAAACATAACTAACCAACATCATTTTTAAAAATCACAAATATCTAAAATAATAATTATGCACCATTGGGCGCTATGTACGATTGTGTGTATGCATATAAAATTGCGTATCTGGCTAATTTAGTTTAGTATTCTTCCTCTTCTCACAAATGCATCTCATATATAATGAACAAAAAAATCAAACTGAACTGCCCGGGAAAATTGGTGAACTAGCCAATGACCTAGTTTGGTTCAATCATTGGACTGGTTCAAATCAAACCAGTGGCAAACCGGTAAAAACTAGTATGAGCTGGTGATGAGTCGGTTTGGATAACTATATTGTCATTGATCTTATTTTTTCTCATTCAACTTCTAATATCTTAGTCATTATGAATTTGAAAGAATTTTAATGATAATTTTGATATCAATGATTATAAATCTTAGTTATTAAGAAATCATAAAGATCAAAATTCTCGATATTATTATAATTTATTATTGTTATAATCAAAGTTATATTTGCTTATATTTTATTATTTTTAATTAAATTATTTTATTTTAATATGACTCCTTTGATTCTCATCAAAACGTGACCCACTCACCTTTAAATCATTACTTGACCCAAAAAACATCGAACAGGCCTTACATCACTTAAGAACAACTTTTTTGTGCAGCGCGCGGAGTTAGTAGTGCTAGATAAAAATGAAAAATGAAAAATTCCATCTAAGCAATCCGGGTCAACATATTTGTGGCCCACTTACAACGTGGCACCGCGTTTTCTGTCTCTATCGCAACGGCGTTGACCAGCTTTGTCCAGTCTTCACTGCGCTTTTATCTTTTCAATTATTTCGAGTGATCCCAGGCCCTGGTCAGCTCGGTTTACCCCCCTGGCGCCCCCGCCACATCGTCAATCCTCAACAGTGAAACAGACGCTGTTTCTGGTTTCTTTAAATATCTCACTAGAAGAAAGCACAGGTTTCAATACAATAGCTATCAGGCACCTTCTGAATTGTGACTGCGAATTCTGATAAACGCTTGAATGTAGTTTTAGATGGATCTAGTGCTCTATGCATCATCTACCTCGATTTTTAGGTCACAGCAGGCAAACTAAGGGCATGGACCAGAAGAATGTCCGAAGAAAACCGAAGCTCGAGCGCCGTAATGCTGCTAAATACTTTGAGTATGATGTTGCATCATCTTCATCGTCGCTGGACGACTCCTCTGGCTCTCTATATACTCGATCAATGGAGTTTTATGACCGAACCAGCTTCAGAATTGAGGGAGTCGAGGGCGAGTTTGATATAATATGCAGGAATTTGGGGCTATCCGGACCAGAAGACTTCGCTATTCCGGCGGCGGCGTGGGAGGCTATGAAGGTCAGGTCGTCTTCGGATATTCTTCCGAGGTTGCAGTTGAACGATTTGGAAAGTCAGGACAAGGAGGAGGAGCTGAGAGATAACCAGTCGAATCAGTTAGTGCGTGAATCAGGTGTGATAAATGTGAAGAACGGGTTACAATTGGAGATGTGAGTGAATCAGCTAAAGACGAGCCTGCTGAGACAAGTGGGAGAGGGGCTATCAAGGGTCTCCGTCCGCCGATGATTAAGCCACCGCCGGGGATGAGGATCCCAGTTATTGATAACATGTGTTCCACCTGGGATATTCTGAGAGATTTTGCTCCTCAAGCTGAAAGACAGTCATTGGAAAAGTATGAGGAGCCGAACTGTTCTGATCATGACCCAGAACGACGAAGGGAAACGGAGAGAGAAGATGAGCAGAAACAAGAAGAAGCAGGAGTACGTGAGGCGGATGGGTTTACTCCAAAGTTAGAAGAGGATAATGCATCAAGGCTTGCGGATGCTGATGCTGAGTTTTTGGGATCGGGTTCGTTTACTACGTCAAACGAAGACGATTCTTCTAGCCCCTCCACGGGTCCTAGGTCCACCAATATATCTCCTAATGTAAGATTTAGACGAATTATTGTGAATTGGCAAAAGGGCGAGCTTTTGGGACGTGGTTCATTTGGGTCAGTCTACGAAGGAATTTCTGGGTAAGTTTTCGAGTACCGTTGAAATTTTCCTTTCCCCATTTTACTAGCGCAATACCATTGCCAAGCCTTCTTGCTTTTCAGTTCATAGTTGTTGAATGTTTTGACACTTGTATTTTTGTTGTAGTTCTCTGCTGCCATATCTTCGATATAGAAAGGTTTAAGGCTTATGATTTAAAGCATTTGTTTTTTTTGGGCTTCTGGATGACGGTCACGGCAGTATGGGACTAGTGTCGGTTGAGGGAGGGGTTGGTGCCTTTTCTCGTTTAGGAGTTTATGGCTGAGAAGGTGTTTGAAGGAAACTGCAGCTTTGGAGATGAAATTTGGCAGGCTATGGTGTTTAGATTTTAATGTAACAAGTGTTGTTGAGAGTATAGGTGCTACGAAGAATCTTTAAGCCTTTAATAACTCTTCACTTTGTGGATGCCCCCTTCTGTGCAACATGTAAATTGTCTCTCTGTTAAACTTCACTATCATTCATTAAACTAGTTTCCAAAATGCTTCTAAGTGATTGCACTTGCGAAGCCTTATTAGTAAATCTTTGCAGTTATGGTAGATTTTAACTTTTTGGAAATATATAACAAGTTTAGGGAGCTATAACTGGCTAATGCATGCGTCATGTAACTGCTATGTAATGTTGCCAGTTGGTGACTTTTCCCAGAAACAAAACTTGGGTCTTTGGACAATTTTGTATTTGGCTTTTTCTTTTTTTTGGTATTTTTTGAGATGCTTATGGCGGGGTCAAACTTTCAAAAGTCTTTGTTCAATTTGCATTGTTTGAATTTATTTACGTTCAAAGCAAGAGTGAAGCTTTTGATGAAATTTTTGTGGAATTTGATGCTTACACCTGTACTTTAGTCATTGATTTTATGCTTCATGACTGCCAACTTCTCACCTGTTATTCATATCTTTTGATCATCACGGCAGAGATGGATTCTTTTTTGCTGTGAAAGAAGTCTCACTGCTCGATCAAGGGAGTCAGGGGCAGCAAAGTGTCTATCAACTGGAGCAGGTGAAACAGCCTCTCTCTTTCTGTTGTTGTTGTTGCATTCTTTTGTTAAAAGATATTTGGAGGGTTTGAATTTTAGATCCTACCTCATCCTTATTAGCTGAGTTAGCCCTACTTTGGCCAAAGCTCTTTCTATTGATCTTTAACTAATCTATCTGCTGCAATGTCTCATAATCCACTTGAGAGGAGACTAACTCTACGCATTCCATCATTGATGCTTGTCCTGTAACACGTCTTTCCTCTCGTTGTGTTTTCTCTCTCTTTCTCAGGAGATTGATCTTTTGAGTCATTTTGAACACGAGAACATTGTTCAATACTATGGCACAGAAATGGTACTTTCTTAACTTTTCTTTTCTTTTCCTTGTATGCTTTTTTATTTGAGATTTATTTCTTGCATATTAATTTACTGCAATATGTTTTTATGCATGTTAATCTATTGACTAAAATGTTTGGTTTAGCAGTGCTTAAAGAGTAAGGATTAGTCGTGCCAGACAACACGCACTCTCAGGGAGAACTATTGTTGTTATGTGCTTGACATATTTTATTGATTGGATGTCATAGTAGGCAGGGGAGTAATGAATGAAATTCTATGAATACTGTGATATTTTATGAAATGTTTTCTAATGGTTGCATGAAAATGGATCTATAAAGCTCAAGAGAACTCATTAAATTCCAGGAATGTAAAAAAATTGTAACTGCTTGTAAGGAATCATTGTTGTGATATCTTAGGCCTTCTTCCTAGCGCCAAGGATTGCTGTGAGGATTAGTTTTCCTGTATTCAAAGAAATTTGAAGCATGCTTGGTTTAGAATTTGACATAGTTGACACGCCTTCTACATGCAATATCAATTACCAGGATGGCGAGTTCACAACTAATTTCCAATGTGAAATTGTTATTTTGTGGACAAGCTAACTGAAAACGTGTTAAATCGCTGTACTGTGAATCCTATCTTCGAGTTTCATGATCTGCTGTGTTTCATCCTATAAAGACCGTCTGATGATTAATTTTATATATTCTGCTTATTTTTTGTTGCAGGATGAATCAAAGCTGTACATCTTTCTTGAGCTTGTTACTAAAGGTTCCCTTGCAAGCCTCTACAGGAAGTACAACCTTCGAGACTCTCAAGTGTCTGCCTACACAAGGCAGATTCTGCATGGTTTGAAGTATCTTCACGATCAAAATGTGATGCACAGGTAATTCAATATTGTTTCCTTGCTTTCATTTGTAAATTGTTTGATACGCATTCCTGCTTCTGTGATAGCCTTGGTCTTTAGAGATATTGCCTGGGTTCCTTTTCTAGTTTCTAGACAAATTCCTCATCCAACTTAAGTCTTTATGCATGGCCGGTCTTAATGAGGCTTTCTGGAGTGGGGTGAGGAGGGAGGAGATGAACTCTGATATTTTCATGATTCTTGCCTCAAGGAAACATTTCACTTTTGCCTGCTTTTTTAATAGCAATCTGAGTATCTTTGAAATTTCAGTGTTGTTTTTGGCAAAGTATTCTTTCATTGTCATTGCTTCAGATATATTTTCTATATTGGAGGACCATGAACTTCTCCATGTATTCAAAGAAGGCAATAGGGTAGGGAAGCGGAAAGTGCACAAGTAATCTAAGGGGAAGACGATATCTTATCCACTTAATGTTGTCACCGTTCCTTTTTAGTTCCAAAGAAATTGCAGATTAGGAAAAACACACACAGACAAGTCTTGCAACAACACGTTTAACCTTAAATTGTAGAGTTTCAAGAACTATTGCTGCTGATATACTGTGTAATTCTAATGTGCGTAAACATATGAGATGCAAGAGAGTTAGAATTTGGTTTATTCTACATGCCATAGAGTTTTCTCTTTAAGCCAAGCTCCTGGATTTTGAACATCAAGCTCATGTTTCTGGATCAATGGTGTACAATCATGAAGCAATCTCTGTAAAACTGATATACTATTTTTTCCTCAATTTAAGGGATATTAAATGTACAAATATATTGGTGGATGCAAGCGGATCTGTCAAGCTAGCGGATTTTGGATTAGCAAAGGTTTTCCTTTCCTTAGAATATTCTCTTTCTACTCTATCTTTTTTTGAACATCAAGCTCATGTTTCTGGATCAATGGTGTACAATCATGAAGCAATCTCTGTAAAACTGATCTACTATTTTCTTCCTCAATTTAAGGGATATTAAATGTACAAATATATTGGTGGATGCAAGCGGATCTGTCAAGCTAGCGGATTTTGGATTAGCAAAGGTTATTTCCTTTCCTTAGAATATTCTCTTTCTACTCTATCTTTTGTTTCTATTACATTCATTTCAGTATTAGATTTCTGAATTCTCCTCAGTTACATTTCTATTCTAATTTCAGAAATTTCCTTATGTGGTTTTTTCCTCAGGCAACCAAATTCAACGATATTAAATCATGCAAGGGGACAGCATTTTGGATGGCGCCTGAGGTAGGTCATAATGTTGTTCTCTTTTGAAGAATTTTTTCGAACAACAGGTCAATTTCATAAAATTTTGGTGAATTTGTAACTTTAAAACTCTTGGACGTTGTTCTCATTAAGCCTCTTTTTTTTTGCCCCTTTTCTCTCTTCTTTTTGGAAGTATGAGCATTAAGCTTTAGGATTAGAAAATCTTCTATGAAATTATGGAAAAGCATTCAGATCACATGTAGTGTGGAAACGTTTGCGTAACTTGAAGGTTCATTTTCTTGATTGGCCTCTATCTTTTTGCGTTTTCACATTGTTTCCTGCGCTTGTGTTTCATTTATTAGTCTTGAGAATATATCAATGTAATGTTTCATGAATATAAATAATGATACTGACAAAGTGCGGTTACATATTAGTTCCAAAAATTGCTGCTCTTGGAAAAAAACTTCTTGCTTTACCTTAAATTGCGACAAATCTCTCTTTTAGGACATTTTATTTTCTGATTTGACGAGAAGACAGCTTTTAATTATTAAGCTTGAATATGCTGACTTTGTTCCAGCCTCTTGTTTCCTGTTTTTAGTCTCAGAGGCTCACCAGTTTCTGTTTACGTTTATTAGATTTTACAATTGCAGTGTGATAGGTTTCATGCTGTTCAGGCTTTTTAGCATTCCAAACCAATGGTCAATTTTCCTCTTATTGTTTAATTTGTGAATTAACTGATTGGGATTGCTATCTTATCCGTCCAGTTTCTTCGTTTGATAGAAAAATGGCTTCATTGTTCCAGCTATATGACTAATACTTTGTAATTAGTATAATCGACCTTAAGATTGGGATACTATTATCTTTGAGCATTGATGAATCTCTTCTGACAACAGATGCAAGCATTGTTTAGAATTGGAAAAGGTGAGCGCCCGCCTGTTCCTGATTCTCTTTCGAAAGATGCAAGGGATTTTATACTGCAGTGTCTGCAAGTCAATCCAGATGAGCGTCCCACTGCTACTGAGTTGCTAAACCATCCATTTGTCCAAAGGCAACTTTCCTCTTCGTCTGGCTCTGGCTCTGTATCCCCTTATATTCCTGGAAGGAGGAATTAATTGGTTAACTTCAACTACGAAACACATTAAGGTGAAGATTGTTAGTAGAGATCTCCTTTTTGGCTGCTCAGTATGTCTCCTTTTTAGCTTGTTTGACAAATGCATTTATTGAAAAACCATTGTCATGGCTTTCCAATGTCTGTTTACTGATTCCTCATTCTCAAATGACAAATTGCATATTTAATACCCATTTGTGTGCTTGATTTTAGCTCAATCAATTGGGTAAGGATTGATCTGGGGATTTTAGAAAACCAAGTCCGACTGGGGCTTTAGCGTCCTATTTGAGAATTATGCTTGTCCGAATGTGATCTAATAACTATATGGTTTGTCCATTGTGCCAAGGTAAAGGATCCGCATCAAACTGTGAAATGTTGGCCCCTCCTTTTAACTGTCGAAAGAATACGTAGTTTAGCCCTCGTAGCAAATAGCAATTACTGTAAGAATTGGAGACCCTGTTATTTGTACATATTCATACCAGTGCAAGCATACTATCATTTTTTGTCCATATGGATATCCTCCAGGCAATTCATTCTATTGTTTGTTCCCTTTTTTTGGGTCATATTTACAGGTTAAAAAGTTTTATTGTGATACACAGCTGTGGCCAAGATTGAACCAAATGTACTTGTATGTTTGCTCTAATTAATTTCTTAAAAAATGAAATGACACAAAAGCCAAAAAAATTAAAATAAATTAAATTGAAAGATTTCAGACTTAAAATTGATTGATTCGACAAGGTAAAACAAGTTGGGCCACCAAGAGGTTATTTCACGTGTATTGATAATGAAGAGTACAATTTTTCTTAACAGGAACGGGTCTCTCCTGATTTTGTCCATGAAATTTGACTGATATCTGCAACGCAACTAATTAATTACGTGCGAGCTATGGCAAGTCATACTAATGGATGAAGAGAATATGAAATTCAGACAAGTTGGGAAGGAAGGATCAGCTCCAAACCCCGCGTGCGGTGAGGGAGAAATAGTCAAATACCATTTACATGGCAGGCATATTTAACTTCATCATTCATTTCTGCAAAAAAACAGCACGGTTCTAAATTATGAGGGTGTTTGAATTAAAATGAAACCACGGTTTTAAAAATAATTTTATAAATTTCGACATAAATACATAAAAAGAGTTTTATTTATAAAAATATTTTTTTTAAAGTGCTTCTAAGACTTCCCAGGCACCTCCTGTGAGGGATCTTGTTTAGTTGTTTACTATTCTTATATTTGAAAATATTGCTGATTTGTTGTGTGTCTATTAGGCGGCTACGCGATAAATAAAGAAAAGCGCGCAATGTTGAATTGCGGGTATTTGGTGGTCGCATGGCCAATTATATTGTAATCGACTATTGTGGCTGGGGGGTTTTAAGGCGGTGACGTCAGGTGGCGGGAGCAAGTGAAAAATAAAAGAGGGCGGCGGGCAATATAAAATTTGTTCGGACCATTGACTGAATGTGAAGTGTCGGACTCTTATGGATGATTCTTTGCATACATTTCTTGTATATTTTAAATGTTATGAAGAGTCTGTATAGACCATAACGCAAGCATCACCGTATTTTAAATGAGTACAAACTCAAATCTATCAAACTCCCTATTAGCGCCTCGTAATTCTCTTTCTAAATCGCTGCTTCGTAGCGACTAACCATTGCTTGCCGGCCCTACCGAGCAAGGCTTCTCTCACTCTGGCACTCTTATGCAACTTGCTCATATTATATTTTCTATTTCTATTAGCCAGTAGCTCCGTAACCTCCCTCTATCTTTTTGAAATGGTGCATTTGGATCAGGAATTTCCATCAAACACGTGTCAGCATTGTTTAATCATGCGGGTAAATTTTTGGAGCTCATTACATCTGATCCAACCCATTCGAAAACGAGACCGGGTAGGCATCCAATCTCCAGAAAGGCATCAACTTGCTGCCCAGAAGCAGCTGCATGGAAAATGACGGAGTTCTGTGTAATTAGGAAAAAGCAGGTCAAGTAATAAATGAACTTGTAACCTGATCCTGTCCATTCTCGTGTCTCTTCAAAAATGGGAAAAGCAGGTCAGTTCATAAATGAATTCGGGATCTGAATTCTGATCCCTTCTTGCCTCTCCTCAATTGCGTTAATCTGCGGCGTTTCTTCGCCAAATCCATACTCCCTATCTTGGGCTCTTTCGTTTTCGGCAAACTCGGTTTCTTTAATAAAACAAGGTTTGGAGATGAGTTTTTCTTTCTTTCTTTTGGAAAAAAAGAAGGTAAATTCCGAGTATCCATAATTCTGAATGGATGCAACAAATAATAATTAAAAAAAAAGCTGTTTTCTCTGTCTCACCAAAAAAAAAAAAGGTTTTCTCTGACCTTTTTCTCGGTGTAATGCGTTCATGTAACAAGGCATGATCAGCATAAAGACAGATAACATTTATTTTTGGTAGGGTGCTCCCTCGTTTTTAAATATGTTTAAATTATAGAATTTTTCTAACTATTTTTAACATTAAATAAATTTATTTTTTTGGGATATTAACAAATTAAATTTGTCGTTTCTGATATGAAACAAGTAAAATTAACCAAAAGTTTTGAAAGCATTTTACATGAAAAATTGATACTATCATTCTCAAAAATGTCTTCGATCTTATATATCCTTTTTTAACCATTCCTCCAAGCAAACATAGAAAATTTGATTAAAATAGACAAAGGTTAGCACCCCCTGGTCATAACTCATAACAAAATGCATAACCGCACATTAAAAAAAGAGGTTGGGGTGGAGGGGTGGTGGGGGACCCATCTTGAGCCCATGCTAAACGAGGGTGTCTGGTTCTGGCCCAGTTTCAGACTATTGGGCTTTCGGATTAAATCATTTCATTGAAATGTCTCGGCCCTTAGTGGAATCCTTGGAAAAAAAAAAAAAAAGAGCTGAGGATAAGCTTCTTGCCTTCTGGACGACCCTTTTCTTCTCGGCTTGCCCATCAGGTGGACAACAGTGGGAAAATGGCGCAAACGCTAGCAATGCCTGTGGCACCTTCTCTGTCTGTTATCTGCGATACTTGCGCTTCAAGTTCACTTTCAAAAAGCGTCTCTTTCCGACTGTCGAACCCTCCCAAGGTAACAATTTCAGCGCCGATGGGTCAGTTTTCCTCTTATCTGTGTTCCCTTTTGTGAAGTCGTAATGTGTGGGTCGCGTTATTGCATGAATATCCTGGTACCAGTCCGTTTATGCTTATTCGCCTGCTCAGCAATTACTTTGTTACCGCTGGAAATCTTGAATTTTCGAATTCCCATACTGGATTTCTGCGATTGTTATCCCCCGTGACCATGAAAATTGTGCAATAGAGGATGATGGGAAATGAGTAAGCCAATCATTAGAATCTTAGAGTTTTTCAAGGGATCAGTAGGGTTTCGGTGATTACCTCTTATTTTGAGATTTTCCGCGGCTACATTTCGTTTTGGTCTCTGTAATTTCTGTCACTTACCTACACTTATAAAATGAAAACTCTCGAGTTGAGATCATTAAGCTCTTGGGCATCACAAACCGAATATTATAAATTCATAACTTCGTTTTCATTATTGGCGATATCTTTTGAAACTGAATTGAGTGTTAAGCTTTAAAAACGTGTCATGAGCAGAACGAACGACAGTACGAACGAAAGTGTCATGATAATATTTGAAGTGTTCACTGTGGCGTACCCTGTCTAATGTGTTGATGCAGGTTCAAGGCCTAAGCATCCAATGTGTTCGTGTTGGAGGTGTGGAGATTCCAAACAGCAAGCGAATTGAGTTCTCACTCCAGTATATACATGGGGTTGGACGCAGCAGGGCTCGGAAAATCCTGTGCGACTTAAACATGGACAATAAAATCACAAAGGACTTGTCTGATGAGGAACTCATCACTCTCAGAGATGAAGTCTCCAAGTACATGATTGAAGGCGATTTGGTACCTCCCTCCCTATCTTGCTCTCTCTCATGTTTCTATTTTGTATGGGTGCATTTGTAAAATGAAGAATGGATTTGTTTGGGTGTTTCAGAGGAGGTTCAATGCACTTAATATAAGGAGATTGAAGGAGATCCAATGCTACAGAGGGGTCAGACACATTCAGGGGCTGCCCTGTAGAGGACAACGCACCAAGAACAATTGCCGGACCTTGAAGGGGAAGAGGGTCGCCATTGCTGGAAAGAAGAAGAAGTAATTTGCGTCAATTCCTTTTGAGTAACATTGATGAATTGTTTTGTATGTTTTTTGTAAGAATCGATCTGGAGTGCTAAGCCAACGGTATAACTAAAATATGTCATCATGTATTCCATGATTTTTTTTTAAAAATGAATATCCCGTGAATCTGTTAAAATTTCCACTGTGCAGAATTTAGAGCGAAAACATTCTAGGACTTCTGACAACTGGACGTGTTTGTGTTTGTGGGTGCGCTTTTTAAATGCAAGACCAATATTACTTAGAAACTCCCCCTTTTAGCATGTATAGCATTGTCTGGGTTTGGGTGTAGCTCACTATAGCTGCAATAACGACATTGAAGCCATAAGTTTGGATACCGTCTATTAAGAAACGCATTACTGTGCTTGTAAAGAACTGTGGTCTCGAACTTCAATACAAGATCATCTTTTCCGGATTATGCTGTGTGACTCCCGGATTCTTGCACTCCTATCACTCTTCCCTGCTCTTTCTTGAGATTGAACGCTTTATATTCTAGAAATCTTTGTGTTTCTGGGGTCGAACTCTCAACAAATTTTGAGATGATGGAACAAGCGATTGGAAGTGAAGAAGTAAACCTCTAAAGAAAAGCTGTCTAAAAAGGAACCAAAAGTAATTAAGTTTCACTTGTGTTCGAATTCAATCCCCAACAGATGGTAGGATGGGTAAACAGACGATCTCGGCGGTTTTTTTTTTTTTTTGGCCAGCAATCTCGGCGGTTTTTGAGGATATCATAAACACAACTGCCTATATTTTGTCCTGCTGACGGCCGATTATTTTCCCTACCAAGAATGTCAAAAACTCATATTGGATATGAGCCATATATTATGTTTTTACGGGCGAAAACCTTATCCAAACATCACAAGCGATATTTTGAATTTGTGCCAGCAGTGTTTCCAATCAGTGCAGTTGTCACTCACTTTTATTTTTGGATTCGAATTTTATTTACCTTTATTTTTATTCTTTATAATAAAATTCATGTCACATTAAATGGACTTGATGTATTTTGGGCCACTACAGATCAAATTTTTTCAATTGCATGTCAGTTATTTTTTTTTACCGGAATTTTATTTTAATTACTGATCATTATATTTTTTACTGATTGAAAATTAAATGATTATTTTAATAATCTCAATTTCCCCCAAATCTTTTTTTTTTAGACACAGGTATCCTCGTATTGGAAATTTTATTTAAGACATTATCAAGCACTGAATGTGAATACTTCTTCTAACAAGAATTCAAATCCTAATTCATCATGTTGTAGGAAACTAGTTAGACCCAACTCACTGTTGGTCCCCCTCCCTCCGCCCCCCCTGAAAAAAAAAAAAAAAAACCTTTGATGACGCAACATGTGGTTATATGTAGCAGTCAACAAGCAGCACACGCCCAAGCCCAAAAAGAAAAATCAACACACTTCAGAGAGTCCTGACCAGTGAATTGGGCCAGGCCTCTGACGTTGAGCCCACCAAAATGAGTTCTCCTTCCATAGGCCTCAACAAACTCTTGCTTGGTTTGGGCCAACCATTTCTCGTTACTCTCTCCAAATAGATAGGCAAATTACTCGAGTTTTGGATTCTCTTCACTCTTTACTAATTAAAGAAGAAAGGTAGATATATCATTTAAAGTTTATTAAATCTTATATATACTACCTCCTCTAATTCTTAATATAAGAGTTAGCCAACTAATATGAGTATATTAAAGAAATTAGTTAGGCAGTTATTTGTAATAAATATGTGTTATTTTTCTTAAAATACAATTGCTAATTATGTGTATTAACTAGAAACTCCTGTTTGATAAAACCTTTAACATATATAACCACTAAAAGAAATATTTTAAAAAATAGATTAAATATGAGAGACAAAATGAATTAGAGTATTATATTTAGGATAAAATTAAATGTTAAACTAGCTCTTATATATATTAAATACTAGGTTTAGTATTCTATATCCTCTTCCATGACATTAAAAAAAAAAAAAAAAAAAGAAGGAAAATCTAAACTTAGTGATAACCAAGCAAAGTGACAAAGTGCCCCACACAACTCGCTCTCAAATCCTCCCTGGTTTGTCACGAACCAGCGTGGAGGACCACAAAACAGGTTGGATTAAGGAGCAGGCAATTCTCAAAAATCTCTTTGCCGTGACATGACATGATGTTGCCTACCAAATTGCTTCTTGATTATAACTGCGCTTTCGCTTTCTTCTCATCCATCCATTTTATCAGGAAGCAGGACTCATCCTCCAACCACGTGTCCCAGTCAAGCACGGTCTCCTCTTGGACGCAAACATGTATACACATTAAGAACCCAACATTATCTGTTCAATAACCAAACATACCGCGAGGCCTGCATTTCTCAATTATTGTCATAAAATCAACGCAACCTCGCTCATTTAATAACGATAACCATTTATCAGATTAAAATACGTTGAGTGGGACTCTCTGAGTTTACTAACGTGGGGCTTCTTTGTCCTCGTCCTCACGAACCACCTTCGTGACATTCCTTGTCTAGTGTACCCCTCCTTCCATTATATCCATTTTGCTTTCCTATTCAAGTGGCCTACAATTTGATTCCCACGCAAAACAACTTTCTGGTTTGATAAGGACAGCCAAAAAGGCATCATCACACTAATGCAAACAAATCTGAACTTCAGGTGTTAACACACATGATCTGTCAAAGTTAATCTCTGGAACAAAGAAAATAGACAGTCGTTTCCTGGACAGCCAAGGAAGTAGGGTTGATGAAGGCAGGATTCGTGAAAAAGCACGTAGATCTACAAAGCAGTCGGTTACGGGCATATTTGGCAGGGTTTAAGAAATCCCTTATAAATACGTTTCACGTAAGTCGAGATAAAACTCATTTCTTATACTTACCTCGTATCTCGTAAATCACTATTGAGAAGCTACTTATAAGTTGTTCCAAACAGGCTCTACGTCTAAAGATGATGGGTGTCTAGATTTGCACACACCACTTCTCTTCTTTACTGTTTTTGGTCCATGGAGCATCTTTGAAGTTTGTCAATAATGAACATTGTGTGGGGTTTTGGTCGAGACCGTACGTGGCATCCACAAAAATGGTAGTGGGTTAAGAAGAAAATGATGGAAAATCTTGAAAGAAGACCCCCACCTAAAACAACAATGGCATGACGTGAATGTGGAATATATTGTCACGCTTGCCTTAGCTTTCATACATTCCAAACCAGAGAAATGCACATTCCCTATCGCTTTAACCCTTATTCCCATTTGTCTGCTACTGTTTGTCAACAGTAGCCACCACCATCGAAGGATCCTTTTGCTGGTAATTCAAGACAGAAAATATTGATTCTCCGATTCATCTCAAGATGCAACTAAATTATTGGCCCTTACCCAAGTCACCCTGACATCACCTACCCCAAGTCTGATATTATCGCTATATTCAACTTGTTTTTTTTAATCCTCCCTTCATAGAAGATAATTGCGATCCAGGCCAGTCTTGAGGAAGGCGTTGGGAGGCTTGGCAAAGGCCGAAGTAAAAAACGATATAGGGAAAAGGGTTATAACTATCAATCTTTTTCGGGGAATGTGTAGCAAGGGATGTTGGTCGCCATTGTTGGCCAAACATTATTACTTAATGAAGTCGGAAGTTGCAAAGGAATTGATCAATGGGTCCTGATTGTACAGTAAAGGGGTATTTTTATAAGCAGTTGTAGAGGATGCCTTCGGGGTAACCTGGGACAACATGATTAAAGCTTGTGTTTTTAATCATTTGTTTATGAGTTGATAGGGTTCTCCATTAGTTTCCAATCAATATCAAAATCGAACAGAGCTTGAATGAAATAATTATGTGGCAAAGAGGATCCCTTTGCTGGAACCTCATGTTGGGAACTTGGGATTGAGATTCATCTTTTGTAGACACCATTACATGAGCATACTATTTTTTCTTCATATTAAAACAACATTGCGGTGTGGGCTCAAACCGCTTTTTCCTCATTCAACTTCTTATAAGGAGCTTCTATCATTAAGACTGAGGTCTATGAATCCCCACCAAAGACCCTCATAAAATAAAAAGCAGATCACTCTCGTGCCAGTTTATGATTAAGAACAAGTGGCAGACAGACATATATAGTACAAATGCTAAGTTATGTAGTGCTGTTTAAAAAAATGGTTGGTTTTCTAAATCGTGATTCATGTTGGTGCTTTGTGATCCCAGATGCTTCTGGCTTGTTTCTTACGTATGGTTTTTTTGGGGGAAAAAGAACACAATCCGAGAGAAGCTATCACAAATAATATCACAACTACTTTAATATAAGAGCTCATTTGACTTTTATTTTCATTCTAAATATAATATCCTAATTTATTTTGTCTTTTATGTTTATCTATTTTTTTTTAAAGTAGTTTTTGTCATAATAGAAGTTCTAGCCAATACACTTGATTAGTAAGAATATTTTTAAAAAAATAATACATATTTATAGCAAATAACTAACCTAACTAGTTTGTTTAATCTACTCAAATTAGTCAATTAACTTTTATATATTAAGGATGGGAAGGAGTATTCATTATTATTATATATTCACCTGGCTTAATGAAGAGAATTGATAGATATCCAAGTTCCAAAGCGCCAAAATAAGTTTGTGTGACCACCTAAAAGCCCCACCTAATGGTGAAGAGAATGGATTGCAACAAAAAGACTACACTCTGGTGTCTAGTATGAGCAACTCAAAAGAGCAAAAGATGAGCTTATGGAAGGGAGAATAAGGATTCAGAGGCCAGACTCGGAGGCGGCGACTGTCTCCGCTGTCTGTATGAACAACGACACGCAGTACGGACCCTATTTATTAACCGTGGTGTTCCGACAAAACATCATCGAACACCACCAGCTCTTCAGCACGTTTAAACTCTCCGTACTTCCCATTTCTCTCTCTATTGTCACACGATTCCCTTTTAAAGATCCTTGGGATTTTTTAAAAACACACCCACCCACCTTCTCATATCATTAATTCTACTACTATTTCATATATGCGAGCATATACAGTGAAGCTGAATTGAATTGGCAGTCTTGCTTGGTTGGCTCTGATATCCTTACACTGCTATTAAAATCCTAGTTCTGGATGGGTCTCATCATCGCACCTCAAGCTTTTTTTTTTTGCCTTTCATTAAATAATAAGCAATTAGGTTTCTAAGGTATGATTACGAAATCAGATACAAATCCTGGGTTAAAGCGTTGGGGTGGCCACGTCGATGTATATAATATGGCCGAATTTTAGGCAGTTGTTGGGCACAAGACACTGAACATTGAAAGTAGAAAGTCAATATATTATACGGTTGTTGCCTTCTGGGTATTTATAAAACAGCAGTAAGATTGCATGTGATGAATCATTTTTAAACGAGGGGCGATGGGCAATTAGCAATTGTTAAATCAAGTGGGTACGATCAGCATTGGATTCAGATGCACGTGCAGAAAGCGTTGACGCTCGTGACTAGCACACCGTTCAAAGTCTTGACTCTTGACAATATTTGCTGTGCTACATTTTTGCCCTCTTCGGTTACCCTTTTATTTTATGGCTCTTGCCTTGAAATTGGATTATGCTCAACCCTTCCGTTCTGAGAAACAAACAAAACAAAAATTCACCTGTGCGGGAAATGAATTCGAAAGTTGGAAAATAAGTTTATGGCTGATAAAATGGGTAATCAGGAATTGATTGACCTGGACGTGAAAGCCACGTTTGAAACCCATATGCAATTATGCCCAAATCTGGAAGAGGAACATGGAATCGAGCAAGGCATGGTCCCCACCACTCACAGCTAAAGCCTTCTCGATCTCAATTTATTAATTCCAGCTATTATTAAATTAGCAACTAACTTATCCAGTTATCCCTTCCCAAATAGCCAAATGCAAAGCGTCTCATTCTTCCATGTCTCTTTGCATAATTTTTTTTCATAATATCCATATTGATTGGGTCATTTCTTTACATCAAATTTCTGGAGGAGAACCTGGAGGAATTCACCAAAGCTCTGCAAGTGACTTTCTAAGAGCTGTGGAGTTCGAACCACGGTCCACGAATCCCGAAGTCTCCCACCCTTAGAATGGAGGATTCTTGAAGAGGAAAGGAGGACAGGGCACGTGAGAAAGTGTGGAGAATGAATGGGCCGTTCCCAGGTGATAAGTGATGAGTGCGTCTTTTGTTGGTTAAAAACACCTTACAGCAGGTCGGTGAAGCTCATTATTACACGCAAACAAACATGAAAGCAGGGCGCAAGGACAGGTCCTAACAGTAAAAAGAGAGTAGAGAAATGCCAATATGATAATGAATATGACAATATCAATGAAGATGGGGTCAACCGCATCTTTCTCGCTCTTTCTCTGCTTTTCATGCTCTTCACTGCAAAAGACATGGAACCACCCCATTTCTTGCGTTCCTTCCTTCCAACACACACCCACACACCCTCTTTCTTCCCATCACATCTGAAGTTGTGTCGCCTCCATACCCCTAAAACATATGCCTGCCTGCCGCTGCCCCCGCCAACCACAAGCCCAGCACATTATTCCTCTCTCAATATCTCCTCCTTATACCCACAAACAACCTAAATAGCCATTGTTAACAGAATAAAAACTCAAACAAGGAAAAAAATCTCTCGGCTATCATCATTCATCATCTATATATATACGAACTGTACAATTTCTTTATTTTCAATCATCCAAGCATTTTGGATATCCGGGACATATAAAGCTTCGCCCCCTCTACCTATCTCACGTCATCCTATCCCATTTTGTAACCGCAAAATTTTTTATAAATACCCACCTCCGTACTTAAAACTCCCCCCCCCCCAAAAAAAAAAAAAACAAATTTCCCTCCAATCTCCATGTACAAACTCCTACCCCGAACAGCGCAAACCATAAGGCTGCATCTTCAAAATTCAGCCACAAGCAACCTTAATTCTTGGCAAGCTTCCTGATGATATCATGGAGGCAGAAACAATGGCGTGTTAACCAAATGGTCGTAGCGGAAGTCCCCACCTCTGCCCAGGGTCTCCAAAGCCGAAGCTGTTTCCAAGATGTTGCAATCAAGCAGGTGAATTCAACCAGAATGACAAACATTCCATCTCATCATTACTCGCCACTACATGTCCTCCGTGAAAACTCTCCCCACAAAATCACGGAATCGCTTTGAATACAGCTTTGGATCCACTGCCGATATTGAAGTGGCATCGACTTGCAAAGATTTGTAAGCTCGCTCCAACTTCTTGCTGATATCATAATCCTGCAAAATGTCAATAATCCCAAAGTACAGGACCACGTCATATGTCTCTCCGCATCGATAAGGGGTCAGATGACTGATACCACCCATGGTGTATTGATCAAAATCACTCCTCCGAGCCATCCGCTCTGCTCTTGCTGGCATATTGGCTCCCAACCTAATCAATGATTTCCTGAAACACCAATAATACTTTTTAGGACGTCATCAGGTGCGCAAAAATGCTCGTACAGAAACTAAAAGCATATATAGTCAAATAAAACAATAAACTTTTATGCTCTGATAATATAATTATTACTGAAAAGCAGGACATCTTTAAAGCTCTCAACCTTACTACCCTTATAAAGATGTTCGAAGTTGAGTGTACATAAGCTAGTATATAAAATAAAAGATTGAGAAACAAAAGAAATTATCAAGGGAGAAACCTTCATTATTGAGCCAAGAGATAGTTATAACCTCTTATTCTAGTGAGACTTACCAAACTATTCGGAACAATTTCTGATTATTCTCGTGACTGTTTTAAAATCAATTGGAAATTATTAGGCATCTTTAACACTGGTAACAAAGCAGAACCCAAGTATGGTATGCACTGTTTACAGCTCTGCTCCAAAGATTGTCTTGAATTTATCTACTTGCACTCAGATGCAGTTCTGCTCAAACTCAACCACAATTATCCTCTCTACTCCCAAACCCAAAAAAGGAAAAAGAGAAATACTGTTTCACTATAGAGCAACAAAATAGAGGCATGTTAGGTGTTTTATGGAAACAGAAACAAATCAGAGTAACCCTATTCTTTCAAACTGAAGGTACATCAGATGGCATGTGGGACAGCTATCAAGGAACTGGAACACATTCTGACATACCGGCCAGATATAACTCGATCCCTATCTTGAAGTTCAGCTTCAAGAAAGCGACACCCTCGCATGAACTTTTCAATCTGATAAGAATCCCGATTTCCTGCAAGCAGCAAGACATTTGCTATTTAAAATTTCTAATTCCTAATGAAACGTGAAGCTGAGCCAGAAAAAAGAGAGATGAATCAATACCTGTGCGTAAAACAAATGGCGACAGCCCCATTTTGTCATAATTGTTATCATCACGAAAGTGAAGGCCAACCAGAAGACTGTAATCCATTATACCCTCAGACTCCAAGAACTCACAATCTCTCTCGATTTGCCTGGACATAGAGTATCATATCATCCTAAGACAGTCTAATGATTATAAAAAGCTGCAAATTACCATCACAGGAAACTCAAGATAACACAACTGATGTCAAAACTTACTTGATGAAATCCTGGTACCAACTTTGCTGTAGACGAAAGACAAAATTGAGATCAAGGTCCTTCAAGGTTGTGGTCTCGTCAATCTCCTCCTCAGGCTTATCTGTCATTCGGCCATGAGAAGATCCTTTCAAATCAAATCGTCTATGGATTGGATATTCTGAGCAGAAAAGATTCCCCATCACAATGAACCGCGTCTGGTCTCCAAGAACAAAAAAGAATCAGGTACCAAGAAGCTTATACCAACCCCTTGTAACAGAATTAAATATCTAGCAAGCCATACCTTTTGCCCTCCAATTGGTTTGACACAGTGTACCCCATAGAACTTCGTGACAAGTGAATTCTCATATTTAGAAACATGCTGGTAATAACTTCGAAGCATCCGAATAAGCACCTAAAATTTAATCAAAGCCAAAGGTGAATCAAGTTGTGCATATTGCCATATGGTCAGATTTTCTATATAAGGTCTTAATAATGGTTCCTTCTCTAACCAAAAAATTAATGGTTACAAAACTAGTATTGGAAGTCCTCCCTCCTCCCAAGGCCAAACTAACCTGTGCCTGTCCAGATTAAAGTAGAACTTCCTAATACATGAGAATTAAAAATAAGGCCTCCTAAAATAGAGAGCAGCCATATCCTTATGCCATGGGATATTATTTGATTGAAGAAAGTTATACAAAATAATGCTATTATGCGGTACTAAGAGCTCTCGAATCTCACAGCTTACAACTTAATTGATCAGACATCCACAAAAAAGGCAGCTAACCTTGACTTCTGATTTCTTCACTGTCTTTATCATGAATCTGTCGTCCTGAGTCAAATAAAAGACACTTCCACTCTTCCCCGGAGAAGAAAGCTCCCTAAGGGCATCATCCCCGCATATGGCTAACATGTAATCAGCAGGATCCACCTGAAACAGCTTCCTCAATTGTCTGAAATCCAAAAGAGTGTCCAGTCAAGCGCACTTATGATATTAATTGTACCATTGCAGTGCTAGTATCCAATGCAAAATGGAAGATTAACACAACTTATCCTCAATTATATTATCATGCCAACCAAAATGTACAGAATCAGTTAATTGCAGTAATACATAAAAACCCAGCTGTACCTAAAAACCATAGGGCAGTAATCTTTCCACCGGAACTCCGCTGATTGATGAGGCGGTGTAATCTTGGATCCTTCCGGAGGAAACCTGGTCCAAAACTTCTCCTTCGGATCAAAATCACTTGGTTTAAGCTCCCGCGATATTGAAGCTTCCTTCCCAACGGAGTGTCTGCACAAAAGAACAGCAAGTCCGCACCGATCAAAAGACTTGAAACAACAATAAGGCCCCGAAAAAGCCGAACAAAAAACCGCAGGCAATTTATATGTTTTCAGATAGAAAGATATACACTCCCCTACAACGCTATACCTTATGCCCAACTGCAGATTAAGCATTAAATCATAATTCTTGTGCCCCTTGAAAATGGTTTGCCCTGGTCTTTTCACCTCCCCGGGGAAACACCACGAGTTCCGCCGAAACTGCTTTATATCATCTCGTTCTAACCCCTTTCCATCCCTATAAAACATGGATGCTTCCACATTATCAATGATATCACATGTTATATCACCCGCTTCTCCATCTGATTCCCATATGCAAATTCTCGGAAAATTCTTCTCAGTGATGCTCCTTCTAGCACTATCCACGGACGACCTCTTCCTCATCGTTATTGTCAAATTATCACCCGTTAACGGCCCATTGCTCATAAGATAGTTCTCTTTTCCATAACCAGGGTAGAAAGTGCCATTCAACTGCTTTATTTCCATATCCTTGTTCCAGTTGCCTATATAGCAGCTTCCATCAGGCCAAGTGAAAATCCCTTCTCCTTTGGGAACGCCGTTCTCCCATTGCCCTTCATACCGATTCCCATTCGCCCAAATAAGCACGCCTCTTCCAGAGATTACACCGTTCTTCCACTCCCCTACATACTCATTCCCATTCATCCATACGTACCGGCCCTGGCCATCCTGAAGGTTCCGTTTCCACGACCCTTCATAGAAATCGCCGTTGGCGTAGCGTTTCTGCCCATACCCGTGTTTCCGATCAGCACTCCAGGTGCCGCGGTATGTGTCGCCATCGGATCCAGTAAAAGTACCGAAACCTTCCATCCGACCCGCTTTAAATTCGCCCTCATATGTTGCTCCGGAAGGCCAAGAAAATTTGCCTTTCCCGGCAGCTTTGCCTTTCTTCCACTCCCCCTCGTACATGCAGCCGTCGGTCCACAAGTATTTCCCCGATCCGTGAGGAACATTCCCGGAGAAGCTGCCCATGTAAAAATCCCCGTTAGGTAAATGCTTCTCTACCGGGGAAGTCAAGCAGTCAGAGGCGATGGACAGACCGGTAGGGGTGACTCTTCGGGTACCTCCCTGGGAGCGACTCCGGGCAACCACAATAACAGGCGGGGAAGGCTTATGGCCCTCCTTGTCCATCTTATCAGCCTCTGATTTATCCTTCTTGGAGCTGGAAAGAACGTCAGTGGGCTCATCGCCCACGAGTGCTGCAAGCATTTTGTGTTGACGAATGAGTCACCCAAATCAATGCATTTCCGGCAATCACAGTCAGTGAAATTGCAGAGTATTGGCTGTCTCTCCCCTGATGGCTGTCAGCGTGTCGCGGGGGGAAGGCGAGCACATCCGTCGATTTCTCTCTCTAGAACTTTCTTCCTCGGTCTCACTTTCCCTTTCCCTTCTCTTTTGGTGCTCTGGCGTTTGGGGAAAATGGGTGGGAATCCTACAGAGCGACCCAGGCACAGGAAGGAAGCGGATAGAGTGACGGAAAGAGGATGCGGGTTTTAATTTTTAAGGGAAAGGGAAAAGATACAAAAATTAAAACCCAAAAAAAAAATGAGGAGAGAGAATAGAGAAGGAGGTAGGAGTGAGGGTGTGGGAGTTAACTAGTCGGCCTTGCCTAGGGAAGCCGGACTTAGTAAACAGTATATAAAAAAACGGGAGTAAAAGTTGCAGAAGAAGAAGAGCCAGCTCAGCTTTAAATATACCGCATGACGAATATACCCTTCCCTGCCTCCTCTGCAATTTCAAATTCTCGTCTCGTCCCCATCGCGGTCGCGGCCAGATGTATGACATGTTTGTTATCCCATTGCCCTCTTCGGTAGTATCGTGACGTAACGGAATCGCGTATGGGAGAGGGCAAGTCTTTGTAATTATGACAAATTTTCATGCCCTTTCTCTGTCTCTCCTTTCTATTTAAATATATTTGCATGTAGGTCCCTCCTTCGTTCTGGTTCTGGGATACTGGCTCGCCTTATCAAAGCATTGACGACCCTCTTTGTGCTGTTAGATTATATTATAATCATGAATATTAAATTACAGCATCGAATCGGGTTATCCTAAACTATTATATGCAGTCATAATTGAACAATTGTTCCAAAGCAATTTTAGGTGTATTTTTTCCTTTCCTTTTTGTTAGGGTAATATGATATTGGTAAAACAGGGGGGGTCGCAGGAACAATCCGTGCCACCAATTTTATTTTATGAAACAATGTTGGGTTCCAAATTCCAACAACAGCGGAATCTCTTGGTATTGCTTGGAAATCTAAATTATTAGGGGGTTTGTTGGATCAGGGGTGGCCGGTGTTTGATCATTTCCGTGGTTCCTGAAAATGGTGAAATTATTACTATTATTGTGGTTGTCTTTTAGTTATTGCCCCAGGAGAAAAAAAAATCTTATGATGGCTTTGTGTTTGTAGGGCTTCCGTGTTCATTTTTGGGGCGGTTGTTTCCATGTCAAAAATTTTCCTCAGCGGAATCAAAAAAAAAAAAAAACAGAAATTATAGAGGCATGGACCTGTTTCATCCGCCAGGGCCCCACTGGATGTCCCAATTTTTCTCAGTGGCACGTCCAATCGTGATGCCCCTTTTCCTGTTTCATAATAAGAAAATCAACAGAGACATAATTGACAAATTAAATTCCTGCGGAAAGTAGCATGGGAAGGATCCATCCTCCCAAACCCACTATACGCCATTAGAGCTTTTCCTGTCAATGCGTGAGTGGGGTGATAGAATATCGTAACGGCTGATAACTTAGAAGGAAACTACTTGCAGATATTTTTTACGATTTAATGAAAGATAGAACTATATAAAATAGCATGAACTTACCTTAAATTAAAGAAGATGTTCTCTTGTCATCAACCAAACAAAGCCACTCATGGGCTTGCTAGGAGAACATGTTGAGTAGGATGTGAACTATTTAAGAGTTAAGTTTGCCCATAAATGAGATTTTAATACATTTTATTTTTTAAAATTACATATTTTTTTAAAAAAATATTCATATTGATTTTAAATGATTCTCATTGAGGGTGATTCCGCACATGATTGAAAAATATTGTTTAAAAAATTGAATATACATATTTATTATAAATGACTAATTTAATATATAAAGTCTAACTAAGGGGGTGTTTGGGAAGCTCAATAAGTACTTTTTCACAAATCGAGGCAAAATCCTTCACATATTTACTTCAGAGGTGTTTGGATGAAACCAAACTATGGTTTGGAGAATAGCTTCTAGATAATAGATTTTGTGAAAAATAGATTTTGAGAAGTGAGAGCATTTAGATAATTGTTATTAGAAACACTTTTTATATATACAAATTACTAAAAAAAGTACAAGTTAATATGATTATTACATAAACAATAGATTTTATGATATATTTTAATTTGAAGAAATAAAATTGTTAATAATATATATTTTACCAATATAATTAATGATACATAAGATAATATAATTAATAAATAAGTAATATGTGTATATATTTATAAGATATAAGATTAAATATCTTTATAAAAAATAATTGAGGCATGTTAAAGTCATATTATTATTGAGATCTAATCTGACAGTCACAATCATATTCTCAAATTTGAATCAGAAATAGAATGGATTTACTTTTCCTTAAACTATGGTTTTGGACTCCAAAACTGTGGTTTCGGATTATTTATCCAAAATTGATGCGGTTTGGATGATATCCCATCTAAACCATGGTTTTACCTTCCAAACTATGGTTTTGGAAGTACCCAAACGCGCCCAAAATATATCGTAAAAATACTTCTAAAACTATAATTTTAATCCCACCCAAATACCTTTTAATACAATAAAGTGAAATAGAAGCTTGGAGCCTTGCGTTGCGCGTAGCTCATCATAACGTGAACATTAACGCATCAAAGCACCACCGCTCCAACTGGCATCGTCCTCCCGGCCTCCGCGCCACGGACGTTCAAAGCCCCGCCATGCATAAATACTACTTTTAGTATTTAATACAAGATTTGTTTGATTTTTATTTTGATTATAATTATAAGACTCCAATCTATTTGTCTCTTATATTTGTACATTTTTTCAAGGTAGCCCCTTTAATAATAATAGTTATAGCTAATAAACTTGATTAACAATAATATTTTAATAAAGACAACACCTATTTATTACAAATAACTAACTTAACTTATTTTTTAATCTCTTTAAATTAGTCAACTACTTCTTATAATTAGAACCGGAGGTAATATTATAGTAGCTTCATGCGTGTATGGGCTTTAAAATAAATTTTCCAACTGACCTGTAGCGGTATTTAATTCTATATAATGCTAATCACCTAAATGGGATCATCATCATCATCATGATAACCTTTTAGCCATCGGATATTACCGATGTGCGTCTCTGCACATTATTTTAGTTGGCAATTCAATTACCTAGTTACCGTACCCGATGGGTGATTTTAACCCTAGTGCTCGGCCACAACTTACAAAAATGTCATCGAAAATGATTGAAGGCAGGAACTTCCATCAATTGAGAATAATTAATATAGTTAATTATAAGAAAATGCATAATGACACCATCAATAATATGATTGATACAAATACACTATTTTCCCCTACAAAAAAGAGCCGGGCGGGAGGAAGAATTCGTGGTTAAGATGCAGAGGATTGCGTGAGAATGTCAACTCAGATGCATAGCACATTTAAAAGCGATCAACTGAATGTAACCCAAAAAAAGAAAGGTCAGTAGGATGTAGTGGTATATATATTTTTGATGGATGGCCAGCGAAGCAGAGAGAGCCAAGAGTCAACAAGCACTAAACAACAACACACCGACCCATTATTCCTGCTGTTTCCTTCTGCTTCACTCAAAACCTCTTCCTTCTTCGCACTAAATTCTGCTGTTCGTTTTAATTTGTCCCACGACAACATTAAGAGCGCATGCGCATACTATACATACGCACTTGTTACCTTTTAACGCGGTCTTCAACTGCCAACACCGAAGAGTATGTTATATATATACATGGATAACTATGTTGTCAAACACACAATTATATGAAGCTCTGATCTTGTTTACCAATCCGACGACTATTTATCAAATTATATAACCCGCAAATGGACAATGACGCAGGATAGAGATGGGAATTGTTTTCAAAGAGAGCCGAGGATCGCATGATTCTTAATATTGAAAAATAGCGAGAGGCTCCACGGTTGATCACTGTGCATTGACATATCTGATGCAACAGACGTTCGTCACCTATTCGTAATCCATTTCCTCGAAAGAAAAAAGAATTCAAAACGCAGTCGGGCCCAAAAATAATAATGAAAAACAATTCACACATCACGGTTTTTGTTGTAGTTGATTTTTCAACACTTGGAAAATTCGTATAGGCCGGGCATGAATAAAGATGGTGGGACTCATCTTCAGAGATTTATTTCAACGAATAATAAGGGAAAGCCCTCACAGGAGGAGAATATACCATGTCTGGATATTTATGATATATATTATAGAATGTCTCAGACGTAATCTGGTGGTTTTGACGACTAATTAATCAATCACAACTCAATCGTAGAAGTCGCCCAAATTTATACTCATCCTTACTAACAATGTTTGCCCAGCTCTGATTAAATTTACTCCAAATATTTATATTTAATTTTGGAGTATTAGTTTCCATCCAAATACCTCTGAAATCGAACGCATAGTAGTTCAATTTGGGAAGGCTTTTATTCATTTTCTAATATAATCCTAATTATGCTTATTGTTTTAATATAACGTCTTAAATAACTTCGAAGAAAAAGATTTCGATTCACCAGTCAAGTCCAAAAAATAGCTTTTGCGCTTGAACAAAATATACAACAAATGGAATACTGGAAGACCCCATTTTTCGTAGGACAAAAACTGGAAGGAAGAAGAAGAGAGGGAGGGAAGGCGAAAAGCAGGAAGGACCCACGTAAGCTGGCGAATCAGCTGTGCTGTGGGAACTAACATAAATAAAACGGCATCGTCGCTTTCGGGGACAGACACAGAGACGTGCCATGCTGCAAGCTGCGACCCCTCTTTCTCGTCGTTTCATGGAACATCGCTTCCCATCCCCCACGTGTCCCCCTCCCAGCTAACCACTTCTGGCGACCCCTCCCTCACCTTCTCTTTTGTTTATTCCCCACCGAATCAAAATAAAAATGCTGTCTTCAAACCAAACTTAAAATTATATTCCCCTCATAATATATAATTTCAATCCCTCCCTCTTGTTTTATGCAAATACAATATCATTGTTTACAATCATTTCCCAGTCAGCTTCTATAATATAGTATCTAATTAAAAAAGGAACAGCTCAGCCGATTCTGCAGTGGTTACTTCTCAAATCATTCCTGGTATTACTATATTGTACTGAACACGGTACTGTGACGCTGGGGTGGCCAAGTGTTCAGTTAGCAGATTTATTTTAATGTTCCTGAAATATCACAGAATGATATAATTTTGATCAATTATATTATTAAACCAGGGGCGGTGGTCGTGACTCCTGACAGGAGCTTCTTGAGGTGGATGGCCAATGTACGATCA